GCTACAGCAACAAAGAACATTTGTTGTTTTGTGTATCTGTATATCTAGACGTTCTGGCTGTGAAGTACTGTATACCAGAAACAACAGAAAGATAACCTAGACTGTACAACACTATTAGTCCACTTTCACTCACTGCAGTCTGGGGGTGAGTAGATAAACTGGCTGTAGTGAGTGGAGACCTGTGTTTGTGCCAGAAAGGGAGGAGAGAGAGACATGCCGTCACTCAGTGCAGTTAGCCACATTCGCCCGTGAGTCAAAGTTTTCCAGTGATTCACGTCTGTGCAGAAGCTGAGCGACAGGCTCAGAGAGGAGTCACTGTCCTGTTTTAGTCAAACATCTCTGCCCTCCTCTTTCTATTCGTGCACTCCTCCTTCTCCGCCTCCTCCTCCTGTCCATTCATCTCTCTACCTGCATTCCCTTTCCTTCCTGCCTGCTAATTTCTCCTTGTACCACTCCAATTATTTCTGCACCTCTCAGCCTGCAGTGCTCGTCCCTGAGTTTGCTTTTCTCAGGAGCTGATCCAGGAGCAGGTATCACGAGACCTCCAGGATGTTCAAAAAACCCCTGTCACACACCCAGCTGCACCTGCGGGCTGGTGCAGGTCGACAGGGGATTTCACCGCTCTGATGACGGGGCACAGTCTTCCTTCCTGAACCCACATAAATCTGTCGGTGGGCTGATTCTTACAGTCTAATATTAAAGTTGTTCCACATCACTTGATGCTCAGCAAAGGATTGAAAGCTGTTGTTGACTTGAATGGGATGATATAATGTGAGCATTTCTGACTTCTACCTGACCCTGACTGCACGTCCTCTCTGCAGAAACACAAAAGAATTCATGGCTCACTGACTTATTCTGCATTTCTTGTGATCTTTTGCCGCTGTCGCCATTGTAACTGTTGCTGCGTGCTTTTGTTTAACTGAGTGTAAATTGTGCCTAAAGTGTCCTTTAAGAACAATGACAAGAATGGACTTGTAAGGACATTTTTCAAGTGAGTGGAAGACCTCTGTCATCTCATCCTCACAGAGACTGGAGCTACTGACCTGGGGCTACAATCAAACACATAGACGTGCACACACAGCGCTGCATTCTAACACCGGCGCACATATAACAACGTTGCAGAACTCAATAGTTTTGTCACGAAAGTAAAAAATGACATTAGGAATCATAATTTGTCAAGATTTAATTCTGAATTGTTTTGATGCACATGATTTTTTTTACAAGACTCGGTGATGTCCAGAGAATAAATACGAATAATTTAGAAATGATGAACTTTGACTTTAATTCTCACTCACATTTTTTGGAAAAAATCACTTTTTACAAAACTTCCAAATACAACATAAGAACAGGTGACACGGTCATGTTGTACTTTGTACATATTTGATAAAGCAGCATCTGTTGAATAAGCGTTCACAATAAGAACACATTTTGGAAGGGGTTATTCACAGCAGAGAAGAGAACATTATTCAGGTTTACTGTTTTGGACTGCAGGGTCACAATGCATCTTTCTGTATGTACAACATTCTGCAGTCCACATGTTGATTGCACTTTCATTTCTATTCGGTCAGTTACATTTACACTTTCCTCTTTGCTCTTAATACTGAGTCCATCACGACAGCAGAAGGTACAGAGAAGTGACGTCATGTTTCTCCCTGAGGTCAGTGTCCGGTCCAGTGATGTTGTGAGCAGTTCTCAGGTCTTCACAGTGGTTCATGTTCTGTTACAGTACGTCAGAGCACAGAGACAGGCCGTGCTCCTGCTCCTGCTTGTAGCTCACCTGCCACGGGAGCCCCAGAGCAGGAGCTGGCTCCGCAAAGCTGTCCATGTATCCCTGTGTGCAGGAGGCCCACCTGCCCGACTGGTACCCCAAGCCTTCACCCACCTGAGGGTATCGCAGGGGACTGGGCGGGTGGTTGACTGGGCTGCCGCAGTGTCCATAAAGCTGTCCCTCAGTGGGATAACAAGGATAATGTGGTGAGGGGGGGCACGACGATGCACTGTTGTCCATGTAGATGTGTGCTTCTGTGGGCAGCCTGTGCACATGAGGTCCTGGTTGTGGCTGCACCTGGTGAGAGATGGAGTTGTGCCAGGGGATGTAACTGTGATGCTGCAACCGAGGAACCGAAACCCTGCTCTGGTCCGGACGGGGTGTTCCTGACGCTGCTGGTCCCACTGAGGTCTTGTTGCACTCCCGGTGTGTGCAGGGTTTGGTGGGAGGGTGGCTGCTCAGGAACACAGAGAGAGCTGAGATGCGGTTTATGGCCCTCTGCAGTGTGGCAATTTTGGAGAGCCGTTTGCCACTGAGGTCATGATTCAGAGCCACACGCAGGGCGTTGAAGGCCTGGTTGTAGTCCATGATTCGTTTTCTCTCACGGACGTTCGCCGCCATCCGTCGAGCTTTGGAGCGAACCGGTCGATTACGCTTCTTGGTCTGGCCTTCCTCTGGGTCACTTGGGCTGCTGGTGGAGCTCTCGGAGTCTTGGAATGACCCCTTGGGACTTCTCTCATCTTCTCCTTCACCCAGGACCCCAAGCTCCAGCTCTTCCTCGGAGAATTCTGAACCTGCAACGCTGCTGCAGCTCATTGTTCTGGAAGGCTCGAAGTCTGAGTCGCAGTGAACACAGTCGCAGCCTCGAATCCCTCCCTGAGTGTTGGTCTCTGCGGGGCTGTCGGTGTTTGCTGCTGTGCCGACAGCCCAGGTATTCTCCACCTCTGACACCTCTGGTGCTTTGTGATTACTTGTACCTGAACAGGACAGGTTGGCCTGCTTTTAAAAGCTCCTGAAGTCACATGGCACACAGTCACCTTTGAGGAATGGTGTTCTCTCTCTCTCTTTCTCCTCCCTCTTTCTCTCTCTCTCTCTCCCTCTCCCTCTCTCTGCCTCCTTCTACAGGTTTATGGGTGCCCCAGAGGCAAATGGCACTGTCACCTCCTCCTCCTCATCCTCCTCCTCCGACTCTCCCTCACATGTCTCTCAGAGCTGTTTCAACACTTCACACCAGTGTAAAAACATGAGCAAAACATACTAATTATTCAGACCAGGCAAACACTTCCTGGAAAACATTTGTGTAAATTTTTCTTTCAATGGCCCTTTATCTGTAACTTGAAAATCAAGTAAGTTTTTTGCTTTTGGCTCTTACTCTACATGAGCTGCTTTGTTTAAAAAATGTAAAAGAAAAAATTTGCGTAACATATTAAAATGTAATTTATGACCTACGTCAAATTTTAGGTCAGGACTTTGACAGAACAACTTTTGTTTTTGTGAGACAGAGGCAAACATTGACACTGAAAGTGTTTTGTACGACATGTGTTTCCTTTTTTTCTCCGATCCAAAAAAGAGAAGAACTCCATCCAGCACTGGTTGTTAGATTTGTCCTTTCTGGAAGTTGTCTGTTGAGTGGCGATTCTCCCTCTGTCTCTCTGTCTCTCTGCTCAGGTTTAAGGGCCATGTAATTTAGAGTAGCTACCCTGGAACCCATTGCCATAAATCAGTCCTGGGCAGCACCTGAGGACAAGAGGAGAACGAGCCTAAGACTTCAAAGAAAAAACAAGGGCAAAAATTTTACAATTAGAGCCTGCAATTACTGCTGACTTGGGCTATCGATCTTTGGTCGCTGCATTTTTAAGATAAATTTATATTTCCTTTTGTATAAAAAATGCCTTTTGAATACATTTATCGGTTGCATGTCTCGTAGATGCAAATGAAAAATATACTTAATCTTTACTCAGTGATGTTTCTGGAACAAAGAGATCTATGACTGGACACTGAAGGGGCAGGACCTTCATCTTTTTTCAGAGATCAGTACTTCAGATATCGGAGTGGACAGTGAAAGGTGATTGCACTGACCTTTAGCTAGGCTTCTGGCCAAGTGCAACGGGTCAGGTAACTAAAGGGTAGCCGTTGAACTGGGGTCGTTGAAAAGCATTGCTTCCTTCCTGCTCTCTTGGTTTTATTGTACACGTTGCGGCTCTCAGACGCCAACCCTTAAAACAATTACAGCCCAGAGTTTGAGATCTTAAAGCATAGCTATTGATTTGAGCTGGGAAACCTTTTTCTTTACGTTTCACAGTTGAGGCCTGGACATCAGCGGGGAGACTTCTAATAGCACAGAAAATAATTCAGTTCAAAATAATTGAAATTCTAACAATATCTTATTAATATTTCTAGTATGTCAAGCAAATATACATAACCAAAATAAAATATTTTGAAAGTATTTATTATTTTATTTTGGTGCATAACTATATATAAACACATCCATACACTTTCATTATGAACAATAAGTAAGCATTTACTTCTCTTCAGACGTCCACCCACGCCACAACATGATCCTAGTTTCTGAATATCAAAACTGTATATATAATTTGTAGTAAAAAAATAACACAGTATATCTTGTATATCAATTCTATATCATCTATATCTATTTATATCTATATAAATTATTTTCTTTAATATACATTATCATTATAGAAAAATGATACGTTTGTATATTTATATATTTTCAAATGTACTTTTTGGATAACATAAACTCACATGCTTACACATCAGTGATTGTCAACTGCTGGCCCATGGGCCAAATCTGGCCTGCCAAATAGAATTGAATGGATCAGATTTCTTTGTTTTAAGACCATTACAATTGATCACAGGCCTATAGATCCCAGCAATGTTTCTGCACAGAATTTAAAAAAAATATGGCCTTGGTATTTTCTTTGTATACCAATTTTGTATTGTTCACTGCAGCTGCAGCTTCACACATTCAGCAGTAGTTTCCACCACCATACAGTTCCATATATGCTGCCTTTACACTATATCCCTAATGAAAAGCTTTCAAGTTCGGTCTTATTTTGCAAATATTTTTCAAGTCCATTTGCAAATTACAGGCACGGTGTTTTTTTAGGTTGTATTTCAGTTGCAAAAACTGTAACAAATGTAGACATCTCTCTCTCTCTCTCTCTCTCTCTCTCACTCTTGTATTCCTTCATCTCTCTTGTGATATTTACATTACATATAGGTCAAGTGAATGTCCCCCACAGGGAGAGCACAGAGCCAATATTTTTTCAGTCGACTTTACAGTCGTCCATTCTTTACAAGTTGCAAAATAACCGTCTAATTACATCACCCTTAAATAACAGTGTTGATCTACTGCATACCTTTATTGCTAAAACTGTTTGAAATGTCCGGCCCTCTGTGCTCAGCTCAGAGGAGTGTGCAGGCTCTATCCTAGGCTGTGATTTACGGCTTCACAAACATGTCAGATTTACTGCTGTGGTGTAAAGAGCATGAAGACTACAGCCTCCGACTCTCCCCGTCCATTCATTTTTGACAGGTGACAAGACACCAGTAATTATCAGCCGCCAAGGATAAATCACAAGATTTTATCACGCTGCTCACCGTGCCCTTGATGGAATAACCATTTTCAAGTGAGGGAACTTGTCCGACGCCCCTGAACCCTAGATTTGTAAATCTCCTGCTCAAGCCCCCATAATGACTGGTTGTTAGTCATTCATTATTAGAGGTCTGTGTGCCAAACATTATAGATATTTCCAAAGGGATAGTTAGGGGTAATAAGTGAGTAAAGTCCAGGTTCGCTAACCTTGGCTTTGCAGTGGTATGTTAATGCATGTTTTTGGTATCTGCCGTGGTATTTTCTCACCTTAATAAAAGCCTCCAGTGAAAAAAGTAAGGGTTGCAGTTGTCAAAGTCCCTCTGCTATTTGTCACTGCACAATCTCTGCAGAATGGTTAATGTTTTTAAAAAACCAAGCGTAACCTGACAACCTGCAGTGATTTCATAGCAGTTATGTTATTTGTCAAGGCTAATCTCTGCCTGCAGAGCCTTTGCTCTCTCAGTCCAGGCATTAGCTGGATTTACATTTACTTTTTTTAAAAAAAGGCTGTGGCTCCGCAGGTAAGAGGCTAAGGCTGACATGTCGCTGGTCACCTGACCTGAGTTTGTATGTTGTTGTGTACACAGTCTATGTCCTAGTGCCAGTCCTAAACCTGGGGAAATGCATCAGGCAGCATTACCAACAAGGGCCTCTAGGAGGCACATGCAACTTCCTGTTGATGATGGAGTTTGATCCACATCTTGTACTTCATCTGCTGTGCTGGAATATTACATTCCATATCTTCAATGGAGTTGACCTGATAACCGTTTTTTTTAAGTCAATACTAATAGCGAACACTAAGGCGCGTCTTCAGATGTTTTATTCACTTCCTCTCATGACAGTCCTGCTCCTGTCTTCGTCCTTGATGTTAACATACTGCCAAACTGCTGACCTACTGAAATAAACTACCCAAGAGGGCAGAGAGACGCTGAACTGGAAGAGGAAAACACATTACACTGGCTGTTGTAGTGAACAGACGTTACAGAGTAGCAGGTCGCTGGATGGTACATACAGAGTGATTAGTGCTTATGCCTTATAGCAATGAGGTCGATGGTATGATCCCAGCTGTTTGTGGGTTTTCTCCGGCTTAATTTCCTTTGTCAGTCACGCTCCATTCATATCAATCCATGAATCATACAGTATATTCTTAATATTTTTAATGCACTGCAGTAAAACTTTTCTTAAGGATATATTGATAATATAATGTATGTGTGTATATATATACGTATATTAGCTTATTAGCTTTAGCTTATTAGTTTTATATTAGCTTGTCAATAGTCAAAAGACTTGAGGAACTTCCTAACTTGGGCCTAGACCAAAATAATCATAAATTACAGTTGAATTTTATTCTTTCTGTCAGAAACAGATGTTGACTTTTTTACATTACTGTATAAGGGAGCCATCAGTACAGTGAGTGTCTGTCTCTGGCTTCACTGTGTGTCTGTAGTGAGACATGAATCTTTATGAAACACCAATTAAAGGTGGACATGACACATCGATCTGAGTTACAGTCTGTTTCAGCACTAACCGTAATCGTCTGACGTCATGTTCCCCAGTATGTACTAGTACTGAACTCAAATGTAAAGTTTGGGTGACCTGGTGAATGTGTCTGCATTACAGAGGTGTTGGTCCAACATTAAACATCACGCTCGCTGACAGCATTCCCACTGACAGAACAATTGTGAATCATTCTGTCTGAGATTACTGGCACTTCTGTGTAGCTGGCTGCTGTAATTCCATTCAGAGAGCACGACAGCTATAAAACCCCACTTGACGACTTGAAACCATGCCCCAGGTCTTTCAGCAATGAAAGTGTTATTCAGAAAATACTGTATCTGTCACAGGGATGGCTATTAATCACAGTAGTGTTTGGATTTGTTTTGTTTTTTTGTTTGTAAGACCTTAAGATTTATGTAAGCAACAAATCAAATAAATTAGAATTCTATACCTTATTAACCACAAATATAATCCAGGATGTTTGAATAAAATTATTTATTTAAACATTTTTGAAAAATCAGATTAGAAAAGCTGTTTAATAATCTTTCACAGCAAGTTGTCCTTTTTGTCAGTTCAATTGCGTAATAAAAAAGCACATAATATATTTTTTAACACCACAAACTTCTCTGGAGAAAGGATTTGGATTGTCCTATAGTTAAACAAAATGTAGTTTGTAACCTGTTTCAGGTCGTTAATTGATTATTTATTTATTCAGGTCAAAAAGGTGAGCTAGTTGCTATGGAGAGAAAAAAAAAAGTTTAAAGCCAAACGTGAAGTATATTTCATGTTTAGGTCACTAGAAAACGCTGCGCTCTCTAATTTAGCCACCAGCAGAACATCAGTATAGCCCAGTGATTTATACACTACCTTGTCTAACAGGAATGCTCCAACTCCCTCTCCCCCCTCTCCCCGACCCCCATCCAAAATGCGTGAATCACAATATGAATCACTGTTTTTACAGGATAGCGTTTACATTAGGATCAGATGAACTGAAAACCAAACCTGGCTGTAAAACAGTAGTAAAAAGTGTAGTTAATGAACATGGCAGCAGGAGGACTTAAATCATATTTTACTGTTCACACACTGGGATTAGTGTATGTCAATTTCTGCACACGACGAAAAATATGCATCGACTTGGAAAAAAAATCCAAAAGAGCGGCAGGGTCCATGCATTCCTTCCAGAGAGAAGTCAGTCATTACTGAGGGTTATCATTAAAGGCTCTATTTGTTGGAACATGTGGTCAAGGTTAACTGTCCGTAGGCTAGTTCCCACACAACCCTCGGCAGTTTAAGTGATGTCCTCTGACCACAGGAGTGGTAACAGGGCATTACACCGGTGTTCTGGCTAAATGGCACTAACAAGTTTTACAACAGTGACTGCAACTGTTGAATGTGAACCGTCTGAGAACGAGAGCTACAGGTCAGGCTGAGTCAGTGATTGGCTGAATAGGTGAATGTAACAATAGGCTGGTTGATAGAGACCACTATTATAATGAAGTCTGAAAGCAGGTTTTGTCGCGATGTTGTTGATCGTTGTGGCTTCAGTATTCAGGTCAGTTGTAACTTTGTCTGGTCATTGACCTCACTGACTAAAGATGTCCTTAATTAAATTCGAATTTGTAAAATTCACAGTTTCACTCATTCTAATTCAAAGCTACAACCAAAACTTTGATTATGTTATTTTTTACTACAGTATCTCCCATCTTTGGGGTGAAGGTCTGACCCATCAGCATGATATGGGTCACATTTATAGTTTGGGGTATTCATTTTATTTGCTGAAATGTATAATAAAGGATAGACAAACAGCTAGTAAAATCAGTTCCACAATGGAAGTTGTTTCATCATTTGATGAAGTGGAAGAGACAGACAGTGAATCATCTGTCGATTTTTGTTGCTCATGTGACTGACGTCAGAAGCTGTAAATCAAAAAGATGAAGTTTATTTCCCAGGCTTTAGTTCTGATGCAGTAGGAGTTTCAGAAAGGAAAGTTTACATCTTTTTTTTTAATTGAATAATGTACTAACTACAGTAGTTCAGCTCTACATAAGACAAAACCAAAAGAAAACTTCCATCTAACCTTGTTAGAATAGCTTTATATTTTATTAGTTTATTTTGATATAACACTAGCATTTAATAAAGATATTTATTTTAGAAAACATGTACATAAACATAGTTATATACATTCATACTCATACTCAAAGTAAGCAACTGTTTGGGTTGCTGTACTACTGGAGTCAGGAAAATAACGCCCTCTAGTGGTGTAAGGATCACACGTTCTTAATGTTAAACGTGTTTTCTCTTTACAGGCTATTTTTATGTAAATTAAACCTTTCAAAATATTTATTTTTTGTATGACGAAATGCAGAAAATAAACACCATGTGACTCAAGCTTATAATGACTTTAACCTTTAACCTTCCTTTATGGCTGACTCAGGTTATTCTGCATAGATACTGCTGACAGTGATATAAGATGCATACTGTCTCCACTTATAGTGTCATTACTCTGACATATTTACAGCATGACATATGTGATTTTAAATACTCTGATGATAACACTGCAGGACATAGACATCTGTAGAAAGCAAGGGCATGTGTGGTACGTGCCTTTGTGTATGAGGTCACTGAAAAGCGAATGAGCTGATCTGAAAGTTGAAGGTTCTGGAATGATTACAAGGTGACAGAAACCAACACAGGAGGAAACCACTGATTATCACAGTCATCACAGTGTTCTGACGTGAGCCTGAAAGAAAAAAGACAAAAAAACTCCAATCATCTTCAGTGCTTTGCACATTTTTTTAGTTTTGTGATTTATGAAAAGTGATGTCTTCACAGACCAAATGTGCAGTGTTAAAAATAACGCTAAAATGTTTTTCTCCACAGATGTTAAACAGATGTTACAGCAAGATACTGTAATTAGGTTGGTGTGGACAAGGTGTCCCCACACAGTAGTCCAAGATTTATGGATAGATGGGGTCTACTGTACTCAACATAAACCTGAAACACTGATAGATAGATGGATGGATGGATAGATAGATGGATGGATGGATGGATGGATAGATGGATGGATGGATAGACAGACAGATAAACTGCCCTATAACGTACTGTATTATGAGAGAACCTTCATCAAGGTTGCAAAAATGGAAATAGTCTCCTGGCTCCTCGAACCTCCATGTAGAATGAATGATATCGATGAGCATGCATTGCTTGAGTCAGCCACCAGGGGGACGAACTGGCCATATTAAAAGTTAGGGGCTTTTTTGCCGCCCGTTGCTATTCTTTTACATATAACAGTTAATTCAGCATCATCAGGAGTCCCTTCAGATACACACACTGGACCTGCTTAAAATGTCTTTCTTTTTTTTTTCAGAACGCCACCTGCAAAGATTTTTAAAGAGCTGACATGAGCAAAAAGGAAAAGACGGACTGAGATTCTCTTTGTCAGCAGGTAGGTGTGTACTGTACATAGATCGTGGATACTTAGACGATGCTTCAAAGGGTGTATTTACAAAGATTGTGAATTAACTGCAAATCGTTTTTTACAAGTTTAAAGTCCCTGAGTAATTTAAGCTTTTTATTCGAGGAGTATTCTTACAGTTAAGAACGTTTCTTCTACTTGAGGGTATATCTTTACTTCTACTCATATCCAGAGACGGGTATCTCTGGTATTTTATACAACTCAGTAATCTTAACTGAGTGTTGGACGATATAATGATTCAGATTATCTCAAATAGAACACGTGCGATGGCAGGCCACAGTGAAGTACAAAATATATCTGCTGGACAACAACTGGTGAAATGACAATCTATGTCCAGTAGGTGGTGCAAAAAGGCTATTTTTGCTTTGTCCATCTCGCATGAAGTAGTTACAGAAAGGTAATTTTTACAGAGCACGATCCTGTGATTAAACCAACGCCTCTGAGAAGCTATAATTTATTACATTGTTGTTTTTTAGTATTGTTTATTTTAATCAATTTAACAGTTTTTTTTATTTTTCATTTAGTTGATGGCCATAATAAAAAAAAAGTTTTAAGTTTTTTAATTAAACCTGGTTGCCTCTGGTCAAATGGGATACCTTTAGCACAATTAAGAGAAGATAAAACACTTTTGATTGCAATAATTGAGAAATATCTTGTATTATTTGTCACCACATGTTATTATCAACTGGGCTAACACTAGCCTAGTTACATGTACCATTAGAAGTTGTTACCTACAACCAGGCTCATGTTGGACTGTTGCATCACACCTATTGTCCAATTGAGTCAAATGTTTTAATGATTAAATATTAGTGCAGCAAATCTAATAGCAGTGATTGTGAACATAAAAAAGCAGCATCAAAACACTCAGGATGTCATTTCTATTTAATCTCGGAGAAAGGAAAAATGTGGAGAGATTTGTAAAGTCTTCAGTGTTGGGCATAGATGGTCTGAGGTTTATTTAAAAAAAAAAGTGTTTTAAGTTGTTTTTGAGTGACACATTTATGTACAACTATAGAGTCATGTGTATGGATGTACACATACAAGAGGATTTCACTTGTTAAACCCAGCTTCCTGTCCACTCTAAGGATATGACATCAGGCGATTTGCAGCAAATACTCATTTGAGTCCCTCCACTGAGGGATCTCCTGACCTATGGGGGATGGTGGCACATGATTTCCGTGAATCTCTGACACTGCATCTGCTCTGCCATTGATTATTATTGATTATTGACAAAATACTGAAATTGCAAAGGAAAGAAAAATGTATTTTCTTGTGGCTGTGCATCTTCACCAGTCAAAGAGTACACTAAAACAATGTATTCATATACAGTATATGTAAGGACATAAACATTAGTACATATTTAAATAATTTAACATATATTACAAATATGGCCTGCTGAGACAATGGTTTAAACTGTTAACGTCACAATTCTTCAGGCTTAATTAGTTGTTAAAAAAAAAAACATTTTTATTTGGCTGTGCAGTTATTGGTTCAACTTTAAAGAAAGGTAAACCAATTATGAGCAATATTCACATCTATAGTTAGTACTATAGAGTACAAAAAAATAAACCAAAATATCCACTGTGTAAATGTGGACATTAATATTTTTATACACTACCTGACTGTGACTGTGAGACTAGACACAGCCTCTGACCAAAGAAAATAATTTTTCTGGCACAAACATAAGACTATGTGCTAGCAACAGAGGAGCTAATGTGTATTAGCATGTTGTGTAGCTAAGCTAATGGATTCAGCTCTGTTGCAGTTTTCATATACTATAATATTCTCATCGTAACTGATAACTTAACAGTTGCACTCACTGTAATGTATAAAAGAGGACATAAAAAGTGAGAATTAAAGTCACATATAGGTTTGAACGCTTAAAAACACTGATGTGTTTTTGTAAATAAATTAAAAGGCAGAATTGTAGCACGGCTGCAGAGAGAAACACATAATATTTCATGAGATTCAATAAAAATCAATAAGGAGATTATTTTCTAATAATGTAGTTTCATTCCAGCTGCCTGCTGTGTGTGTGTTTGTGTTGTGATGAATTAGATAAACAGCCACCTTATTCCACATGAATCCTTTATTCGTTAGTGATGCGTTAGCAAAGTGTTTGAGCAGAATTGATATTTTGGGGAAAATATCAATTCTGCAGGAGACTGTAGGGTTGATATATTTTTCCTGCATGCGGAAAACTGACAGAGCAGCAGGAGAATCATTGGCAGGTCCTGTTAGAGAGGGTGAGAGCAGAGCGGTGGAGATCAGTCAGCTGCACTGAAGACCATGTGTGCATGTGCATCCCCCTTTCCTCTCATTCAGCTGTTTTGAAAAACGACAACCCCCCCACCCTCCCCAAATCCTGCTCCGAGTGCAGTCATTTCTAGTGCAGAGAAATGTCCCTGCTGACACTGAGGGATGACGCAGGCTCTCTCTTCTTCTCTCTGTTTCACTACCCCCTTCACTCTCCATTTTTGACTTCTCTCCCCCCTTCTTTTTTGCTATTACGCTCCCCCTTTTCTCTATTTCCTCTCCTGTCTCCCTTTCCTCTCTCCCCTCCTTTCTCTCTCTCTCTCTCTCTCTCTCTCTCCCCCTCCCTCCCTCTCTCTCTCTCCCTCTCTCCCTCATCCTGCTCTAGCACTGCAGTGCTGATTGTGATTGCACACACACTCACACAGGCACACGCAGGAACACACACAGGAACACACAGGAGCATAGCTGAGCGGCAAGGACTGCAGCAGCATGCACCAACCGCGCCTGAGCTGTTTGGGGACACGCGGAAGGGGAACTGAGGAGAGAAAATAGTGTGCTATTTTCACACCAGCCTGTGTGTACATCTTTCCAGCACCGGGGATGATGCATTTCAAGAGCCGATAGCTTATGTTATCCGACCTGCTCTGCACTCTGCATCCCATTTACCCTGCTCCTCCTACTCCAACTCTTCCTCCTCCTCCTCCTGTCTAAAGCATCGTTAGACAGGACTACTGATTGACCAGGAGTGGAGAGTGCTGGACGGTCAGGTTTTGCCCTGGATGAAAGCTTCTGCTCTGGTCCATGCTACAGCTACACCTCCACTGACGGCTGGATACTAATTGACATTTTGAGCTTGAAGACACACAGCCCTGCAGGAATCTTGGATGTTTGTCAGTGTTGTAATTGGCGCATCTCCTCTTTTTCACTGCTTGCTTTTGCCTTCCCTGAGACTGGCTAGCAGGCACTGCAGCATCAGGACCGCAAGACCAACGAAGTAGTAGGGCATGAGGACCCAGGGGCGACTCAGCGGAAGGGCTTGAGTGCTTCCATTGCTACCACTGCTGCTGAGGTGCTTATCTTGATTTTTTTTTTCCCTCCAGAAAAAGGGTGTCTGGTAAGGGTTGGGGAGGGTGGTGACAGCACAGGTACCCACAGGCCCCTGCAGAGCAGAGCGGGTGGCTCCTGCGTAGAGGAGGCAGGCAGGACGTCCTGAGGGAAAGCAGGGCTGGCTCAAGCGTTGGGCTCCTGATGGTGGCTATTTTTGTCTCCCCTAGCTGAGTGATTGGGACAGCGGGTGGAAGAGAAGATGCTGATGGCCCGAGACACGGCGCGGGATGAGGCTCAGAAGCTACACAGGAAGTGGCTCAAGCACCAGGCCTTTATGGCGGAACTGGCCCGCAATAAGGAATGGCTGGCCAAGATAGAACAGGTGAGTGGAGGGGATGGTGCCAAGGATGGCGGAGGGTGGTGGAGGACAGAGAGACAGGGCAGGTGAGTCGGGGGTAAGGGCCATGCCACAGAGAGCACATGACTGAGAAACAGTGCTGATAGTGGGTGTGGTGGCAGTGAAATGGAATATGTGAAAAAGAGAGAGATGTCATCACCCAGTTTTCAGTTCATCACATTGCTAGGGGACATCCTGAATTACACTCTCAAGGTTACATTGTTGCAGTGTCTGTATCATTGTCAGGTACACAGGTGACATGATCCGTGGTTCATTGCTGTTTGGGTTTTTTATTAACACGCCATTTCACAGAATTCTGTTTTAGTTCTGGGGCTGGTAGTGAAAGGACGAGGACGTGTGAACCTGCGCAGTGATGGGGTAAAAGCCCTGACACACAGGGATCACACTCGCCATCGTTTCTCCTTTTCCTTCTTTCTTCCTCTGCGACGATCACAGAGCTCAAATGAAACGAGTTTATACACACATACGTTTTCTTGTTTTTTCCCTGCTTTCCCATCATGCTTTGCTCCGCTGATGGAGTAACACCTCATCCACACAGATGATGCTCAGGGCCCTCTGCCTCAGTGACACTTAACACATTGGGATTGAACAGTTTGACTGTACACGTTTGTGGCTGATGCTGGTCAGTGAATGTGATCTGTAGTGCAGCAGTGTGAGCCGAGCTGCTGGTGAGGAGACGAGAACAGTGATGGATAAATGTAGCACTTGTGGTTTGTTTGTTTGTTCAAAATACGGAGCCTTTTGTTGCGTTGCCATATGTGAGGCAATTTGTGTTGCTGGGTCATTGATGTTTTTGCTAACAGCTAACCAACAGTTTCAACCAGGCAACACATTCAATCACACACATGAACACTATCAAATCTTATCAAATCTGCCTCTCCTGCTCTTTTCCAAACTCACGTGGTCAACTCTTTGTCTTCTTTAAAAAGCTGTGTGAACTGTGAGAAGTGTTCTTCACAGATTTGGCTCATTTGAACTAAAACCAAGCAGTATCCATGTATTGTTTTTTATCATGTATTATATATTTTACTACAGTGTGCAGATACAAAAGATCTACTAAAATGAGTACGACTGATACTACAGTACTCAACAGCCAGTAAATGTGTGCAGATTTGTGCTTCTGCGATCAGCATTGTTCTGTCACAGAGTGACAGCTTATAGTGCAGGATATTTCACCGGATATTTCACAGGATAATACACGTCCTCAGGTACTGCTATGTTAACAATCCACTACACAAGATACACCTGAGTACACACACACTTGAATATTTAATTAAAAGTCATCATTAAAACTTATTTCATATACATCTGTGTGTGCAAACAGGCTTTTCAGATTTGAATTTGTTTCTTTGTTTTGATGTGCATTGTCACAGCAGTAATACAATTAGAAAAAATACTCAATAAATTGTATATTATAGTTTTTAAAATACAGTTACGTAGGTGAATGGAAATATTGACACAAGTATGCTTTTAGCAAATAGTATATTTCATGATTGTCAAATGGAAAAAAGTCCATTTAAATTATTCTTTATTCTTGAATAATCTGATTTATAACTTAAGCTGCATTTTAGTTTCTGCAATTTTGTACAAGAACGATGAAACAAATAAAAAGTTACTTTATTTAAAAATCTGAAAAAACTTGAAAATATTTCTGGGCCTTCATGCTACTGCTGCATTTATTCAACAATCAGATGACACACACTTTGGACTTAAATTATATTAAAGCCTACGGGCTGACCAATCAGAGACTGGTAGCTGGTATCCACCTCTGGTGTCTTCTCGCTGGACTGACTCTGAGCTGCAGAAGATGGCTCCTCCACAGAGAAGTTCTTCTCTCCACTGTTTGGCGTGATTTCTTAAAGCTCTTGTGTCTGTATCTCAGTGCACACACTTTGGGAGGTCTTTGTGTCTTCAAGCACCACGAGCATTACTTAATCTACCCCCACCTCTCTATCTGCCGTTACCTGAGAGACAGGGAGAAAAGATGACTCCGCGCGCTGCAACGATTGGAGAACTCTCCGTACTTTTGGAAGGCTTCCCACCGCCACGCCACCTCTCTTCTCTCTTAGTACTTACTCAGCACATGAAGCTGACCGCACAGCTCCAGGCCAGCTCCTGTATGAAGAGGATCTGTGGCGGCTTCTCTGTTACAGCAGAAGGCTTTATTGTTGACCTTGTGCCAGGGCTCACAACGAGCATAGGGGTCAGAGCTTTGTGAGAGAGAAAAAAAAAAACACCCAACCGTAGCATGTACTGTAGAACTGTGACACGCCTATGGACGCCCACCCAAAATCAAACATTGATCGTTTATTTGTATCTTTTATTTCCCTCTGCTCCTCTTAATGTCACTAAATCGGCTGTAGTGAAGGAACAACTGCAGAGATACACACTGTATGTACATGCACTGTACAGTTAGCTTTAACATTAGCTCACAATAAGTCCTGCTTATTGTTGCCTAGACCACATCATCTCAGAACAAGTCTAGGTTTGCACACTGACTCCACTTAGAAGCTTCACAAATAGTTTTTGGTAATGTTCTCATATTGTTCTAGTAGTGTTCTAGTATGGTTCTGTCATGACATAATGAGGTTCCTTGTCTGTAAAGAGACATCCACTGTCATGTCACTGTCCATCTTTGGTTCATTTTCTTACATATAGTGACATTTTCCATGATGTAAGATCAGGAACAGTTCATTTACCTTAGCAACTAAAAGTACTTTTTTGTGTGGAAGTGGAAAGTATTTTTTCTAAACCTTAAGAAAGTAACATTTCTATAACCTCTACGAGTGTGTTATATGGAAATGTCATTTTTTTAAATCTTTTTTTCTGAATTTTTTTAGTCTTAGCTTGTAGATGGCAGAAACTTTTTAGTCATTATGAGAACTGATACAATTTTTAGAATGCTAATCTATTTTTACACAAACTGCTGTGGTATAATTTGCACCTTGAATCTTTGAATGTTTGATTTAAACCCTGATCTATCTACAGTAGAATCAGAGAAACAACACATGTACACACCTTTGAAAACAAGAGAGAGAACCTTAGTATTTTCTTATGTCAAATTTGCTCAATAAACTTATTTTGCCCACAGAAAATGTAAAATTATATAAATGTTATATTGTGGTACATTGCAACTCATTTCAACAACTTCAGTATATTTAACACGTTATAATGTTTACAGTGTTACTGATTAAACAAACATACTTTAACATGGTTTATACATTGGAAGTCAGTCATCAGTTTAATAAACAACAGACAGTATGGTCTGTCGTTTATTCTTAACTATGCACATATTCATTTCTATTAACATGGAGTTGAAAGCACAATGACATTATCACACAAATACATACTGTATTTTAACCCATAGTTGTGCTAATGATGGCTCACCTTTATACATTGGTTTTAAAAAACCAGGATGTTTTCATCAGCTCACTATTCATCAGCCAGTGTATAAAAAGTGTAGTTTATTTTATGTAATTAGCTACCATGCTAAACATGAGGCTTCTTCACACTGACTGTAATCGTAGTAAACATGTTTTGGAGCAGCACATGATCTCAATCCTCCATAGAATTCTATGGAGGATAGAATTCTATCATGTTGTGCATATGTTACTGAACAAGTAAGATGGCAACTAGTTAAACAGAATTAAGTTGTAACTGTTATGCAGTTGGGTGACCTGTGGGAGTCAGAGAAGAGGAAGCTAACTTCCCTGTCAATAAGACAAAAAAACACAAATTGTGAGCTGCTTATACAATGATCAGCCTGCAGCACAACATGGGCTGCTCTCAGTTCATACCAGGTGATAACTAGTGGTTTTGACATGACATCCTTGTTCATCCTTGTTGCCACTTAACAAAAGACTGCATAAGAATGAAATGGATCATATCTCACCTAGCAGAGAATTAATGCACAGAATTCCATGTTATAGTATGTTACTTTTGTAAAAATGAAATTAGGTAATTAGTAACATTTGTTTACAATAAAGTGTCACAGTTACTGTATTACATAATTATATTTTTAACTGAATTTTATATCGATCTTATTGCTAATATCCTAATTCCTCTAACTTACTGTACCAGTGGGGACCAGTGGGGACTGTTAAGTACCCCTGACATTAAGGTCTCCAGGGAGCCTTTAATAAACAGTAGTACAAAGCAGTCTTCCATGTACTGTACATGTCAACAGTATGTACGGTATCTGCACTTTTACATGCAGTATGTACATTTTCTAATACATGTAGCTGACGTTACAGTAATTTCTTGATAATTATTGTCATTTTTACAGCATAACAAGAACACACTGAAACTACAGTGAGCAGAGGCAATAATTACATCAAAATAATGCTTTCCACTTAAGACAGACATGTAGGTTTGCTAGTAGTTCACTTTTGTTATGTCTGTGTGAAAATCTAATTTCTATGATTTGCTACCAATGTTTTTTAAGTGAATTATATAAAAAAAAAAACACCTTAAACTTCCCATCTAAACTCCTGCCCTGGACTATATTTTTTTTCTTCTGCGAATGATTAAGCAATTCTCTCAATGTTTATACACATAGAACATGCACTCCCCCAACTCTGCTAGAACTGCAGCAGTCATAGGGTGGAGTTTGCTAGTACGTCATAGATGTTTTATATAAATATAATCTTCAAAAATGCTTTAGGTTTTAGAAATTTCAAATTACCCACTGGACAAAGATGATGCACTGAAAGAATTACATCAATACCAACACAGTAGGGACATGGAATAAATAAGACTGAGTGGTTAACTAAAGTACAGAGTGCTGATGTTCTTCATGACATTACAGACATCAACAACAATGTGCTAAAATGTTAAGATTATGCTCAATTTAATCCACCAATTTGTCAACTGTGTACCTACAATTTGTCCCTGGAATATAGCTTTCTTTTTTAAAAATCTTATTTTCTCATTATATTCTTCTTTTCACATCATGTTCATATTTTCACATTCATTTGAAATTTTCTCATTATATTTTTTATATATGTATGTATATATATATATATATATATGCTCACTATAGTCCTATTTTCTACTTTATCTACAGTGCACTGAAACCATTGCAACAATGTACTTTTACCTTGTTGATTAGCCTTGTCCCTTTTTTCTGCCCCAAGGAGATAAGCGACATTTTCTACATGTGAATCTGGAAGTTTTAGCATTAAAAAAGACATATATTAACAGAGATTAATTACTGAGAGTATTCCACCAGGTTGGGTGAACCTAAACCAACCACAGAACCACCTGAATCCCCCATCTCTACTTCACATTTCTTCTTCAACAGTGCCTGCAGCACCACACACCTTGAATGACAAATCAAAAATGACAGAGGAGTTATCATTTTATGACTTTTTGATTAGCGCCAGGGGAAATACCCAAAAACTTTACCTGTAAAAGATGACGAGAAAAGAAAAAGTCTTTGTCTTTGTCTACATGTATTCATTCATTCTGCTTCAATTTACAATTCGCACACCAAAACCTGTTGTTAGCCGGTGTATATTTTTTACTCACTTTATGAGTTGATATTAATTGTTTATGGTGTTGTTAGGATAAACAGAACAGGAGTACATTCTCAAACACCTTATAAAAACACATACTTAATAAAAATATAATTATCTCATCGCCAAAGGGAAAAGCAAAGGGGGGGGGGGGGGTAAATTATTTCTGTGGTTTTGTGTTAAGGGTAATATTTAAAAATTAGCCTTGCATCATTACAATTCAACACAGATACTATAGAGATGGCACAGAGCGTATTGTCTGAAAGCATTCACACGTCATATACAACACACCATCCAAACACATAAATTCAGTGTTTTTTTAGAGATAATTTCATACGTTCCATGAGTGTGTTTAGTACAATATGATAGACAGATGGTAGCAGAAGGCTTGGTGGCCTAGTACGTATGCACCAGGATACTAAACACCTTAGTTGTGTTACTGCTGTTGTATATGTTGAATATAACTTGAAAGAAACCTTGAGTTTATGGAGACTCTTCTATATTTTGCCTGATAATTGTCCACGCCGTATGGAGAACGGTTCTGACCTTTAATGACATCAGTGTCTCAGTTGCTGTTGTATGCATTAGATGGCAGTGATTGTTTTTTTCTTTTTTTTTTCTTTTTTTGCCTAACTGACCACTATTTATGTTGCTGTATCAGCATTTCATTAAATTCAACATTTTCGCACAGTGGTGTTTTGCTATAATAGGTTGGTTAATATAAGGCAGCTCTCATTGGCCCGTGTCGGCACTGAGTGTCTGAAACACTCACTTCACAGATGTCCTTTGGATCCAGCAGTGCTCAGGCTGTAGCACAGGCTCGTACACCCGCAGCCTCGGCCCTGTTCTACAAACCTTTGATTCCTTCTCCTTCTATCTCAGCTCTGCCTTCCTCCACTCCTCTCCTCTGCTTCTCCCCCTCTGCTAAAGCCTATGTCAAAAGAGAGAGACGGAAAGAGAGAGGAAGGGAGAGAGAGAGAGAGAGAGAGCAGCTTTCTGCTGGCTCTGCATTACGAGATGAGGAAAGAGGGAGGAAGAGAGAAAGAGGGAGGGGTGTGAGAGAGTGAGCAGTAGCAGCAGTTAAGCAGTGAGCCTGTGCCAAGAGGAGGAATGCAGCACTGCATTATGAAAGCCATAGGATATTGGTCCAGCTCTCTGTGAACGATAAAGAGAGAGAGAGCGTCAGGAGTGAGGAGATAAAGTCATCTTGGGCTGTACAGTTGTCGTACAGTCGTATGTACAGTCGTATGTACAGTCGTATGTACAGTACGAGCAAAACAAAATGAAAAAATGGGTGTTCCTGACACTGTTAAGAAAACACCTTCATCTTCACAGTTTCCATAGAATTGACCGTCTTTTTTGGGGAGACTAAAGGGAAAAGGCCACGAGTTCCTGTAACTCTTCATCCACACCGTGACATGAACTAAAGCAAAGATTCATGATCAGCGGCCCAGGACAGATCAGGGCTGTGTCAGACCCACCATGCATGATTTTTAGGTCAGCCTCGGGCCTATTGTTGCTTCACACACCTGCCTCTCCGTGAACAGAGGGCTGCGGGCCCTTGGCACGGTGCTGTGTTGTCCCAAGCTATTCTGGGGACATAGCTGAAAAGGCCGTTTACTTTCTAGCACAGTGTGCTATTGTAGTGAAATAATGACATTAACACAAACCAAGACAACCTGGTTTACCTTCAGTCAGTCTGTCACACTGGTGTTTTTTGAGAGCATGTCAGTCTATTTTTTTTTAAAGACGATTTTAAAGCTCAACATTTCTAGATGTGGACGATGCTATTTTTTTTTAAAGACGATTTTAAAGATTGCATATTTTAGATGCAGTTGACAGATTTTTGATCTCCACAGAGGCAACAATCATCTCAGCATGTAAAAACTGTCCCTGCAAGTAAGAGCTGACATTTAAGAAATGTACAAGCAAGGAGGAAAATTAATCACTCAGCCGGGGATCGAGTCAAGCACATAAAGTAGGATTTAAATGGGACAGGTTTAGTGTGTGATAATGCCCTATAAAGGGAGCTACGTTTGTTGATCAGTTGCATGTATGACTCTGTGCCATCAGGAGGGACAGGAGCTGATCCAGGAAAAACCGGAGCTACGTTCAGTGGTCCAGCAGAAGCTGGAGGAGATCAGGGAATGCTGGTCCGACCTGGAGAACACCACCAAGGCCAAGGCCAGACAGCTCTTTGAAAATAACAAGCCTGAGCCGGTGGTGAAGAGCTACTCGGACCTGGACAGTCAGCTCTCCAACTTGGAGCAGCAACCCCCTCAGCTGGAGCAGGCTCACCATCTGCCAACCTTCAATGAGCAGCTCCAGAAATTCCAGGCAAGTGTCAAAGGTTTAGGAAGGAGTTTGTTTTTGTATCAACAACCTCCACGTCATCTGTCATTACATCAATTAATCTCTGGGTTCTCCATCTCCAACATTCTCACTTTAGTGTATGTCCAAACCACCTCTACCTTTAATGTTGTATATCTTTCTATGTTTACCTTCATAACGGTCCGTCCTTCCATCATGGTCCAATCAAAATGCCTGCCATGCACGTCCAGTCTTTCCAAACAGCCTATCAGGTCTCACTCTTTCACCCAGCGTGCGACCCTTTCTGTTTTCTGCCGTGTCTGTTACTTTGGACGGTTGATTTAAAGCCCATAAGCTCATCCACCTCCACCACCTCTACCCCATCACCTTCACCTTCATGTGTTGTTTTTGTTTCTGTCTTTTTCGCTGACCTCCATTACTCTCTTCTCCGGTGTTGACCTTCACCTCTCTACATTCTATTCTACACCAGTGTGGTCCTGGTTATGCAACGTGCAACTATTTTAAATTAAAATGGCATGGTGTTATGATAGTATTGCTACTGAACTGTGTTTTCAGCCAGTTAACCTAGACTTCAGTATTTTATGTATACAGTATATAATATTATGTGGAAAATAATATTTATGATAGGGGTCTTATAGTATATAGATACAGTTAGAGAAAAGCCTAAAACTGATGATATTCTTAATGTAAATATGAGGGCACTAACCACCCTCCCACTGTCTGGCTTTCCTTTAACATGTAATATTTTTTCTCTAATTTGTTGTTATCTTATAATACATACTATAACTAATAAGCTATTGTCAATTATTATTAGCATATAGTTATATATTTAGAAAATATATACATATATCAAAATGGCTTGTAAAATAATGCACAAGAAGACACTCAGAGAAAAGCCCCCTGGTGGACCGTCATGATAAAACCTACATACAAACCATTGATCACAGTATCTTACTGTTGACACTTCCTTTGGGCCATAAACAACTCAAATGTTGCTGTGTTTCCTCCCATATCATGTGGCTAAAGTATGAATACTGTATGTAATGGCATAAGACAAAAATGAGGCCTGTACTAAAGTCGTTTTTGGGTAAAGAACTTCAATGCCAACCCTTGATTTTGTTTTTGTGACCACAGCCTTGTGATGTTTACTATAACCACAAGCATGAATTCTTCATGTCCATGGTTGGCTATCAGAAATGTTTATGTAACTGGAGCTTTACAAACAGACCCAGCGACTCTTTACAACACAGCTGGTCTTAAAGTTGTTTGTTTGGCTTCCTTTAAAATTAAGATCTGTGTATTCAAAAATAACATCATAGGCGTCTTTTACCTTGAAGTGAGGCACAACCATGACATAACCCTGAAATGTTCTGTAACATGACCTTCCTTTTCCTGTTGACCAGGCCATGGAGTCTGAGATGGGGGACTTTTACAAGGATGTTGGAGAACTGGGAAGCTTGCAGGGCATCTGCCTTCCCCAGAGAGGACTGATGGGAGGTGACAAGGAGGGAGGTGAGCAGCCCGCCATGGTAGAGACACGTATCACCCGCCTCATTGAACCCTTGAAGGAGAGACGCCGTATCCTATTGGCTTCCAAAGAGATGCACCAAGTGGCACAGGATCTGGAGGATGAAATAGTAAGAAATTTAAAAAAATATAAAGACAGCATGACCAGTTCTGAACAACAAACACAATATATACATAGTTTTATTCTTCTTTAGTCATCAGTTAGACACGTGTCTATACCTTGACCTGATTTTGGTTTCTTTAAAGCTATGGATTCAGGAGAGACTTCCCTTAGCCTCTTGTAAGGATTATGGGAATAACCTCCAGAGTGTACAGCACCATGTAAAAAAGAACCAGGTAAGTGTCCATGATGTTCATGGTCAGCTAACATACCAAATACACAGCTGTGGGAACTTAAATCTGATTGGTTCTTTAGACCCTCCAGAGGGAGCTAACAGGACGAAGAGCTCGTGTTGAGGAGGTTCTGGACCGGGCAGGCATTATTGCCTCCTTGAGGACTCCTGAGGTGGAGTTTGTGCGTGAAGGAGCGGGACACGTGCGCCAGCTGTGGGAGGTTCTGCAGCTGGAGACAGATAGGAGGGCTGTGTTGTTGGATGCCACACTGCAGGCTCAGCAGTACTACACTGAGGCAGCTAAAGTGGAAACCTGGCTGTCAGGTCAGAAGCTCCAGGTGGCCAGCGAAGACAAAGGCACGGTACGGAGAATCAGATGTAATTTGTCCATATTCATCATTTCTAAGTAAACACGTAAGACCAACATTGCAACATTATTCTGATTTTTTCCAGGATGAGACGAGCACTTTGCAGCTGCTGAAAGCTCACTTGGCTCTGGAGCAAACGGTTGAAACATACGCAGAGACAGTTGGCATGTTATCTCAACAATGCCAGCGTCTTCTAGAACTAGGTCATCCAGAAAGGTAAGGCTTGACATGTGGAAGTTGTGGATAATGTTTTAATATCAGGAGCATACATTTGAACAACGGGTCTTTTTTGGAGACGATCATCTGCAAGAAGCCCTTCAGAAAGTCCAGTTGCTTACTCCCGATTATTATATGTAATATCTTGTCTTGTTTTGAACAGTGAACAAATCACCAAGCAGCAGTCCCACATAGACCGACTCTACGTGTCCTTGAAGGACATGGTGGAGAACAGGAAGACAAAGCTGGAGCAGCAATATTGGCTCTATCAACTCAACAAGGAGGTGGAGGACTTAGAGAAGTGGATTACCGAACGAGAGGCAGTGGCCAGTTCTACAGATCTAGGCCAAGACCTCGAGGATGTCACGGTCAGTCCATCAACCCTGTTTAGAAAAGATAATGATGACTTTTAATACAAATTTTAATATTTTTACCCTGATTCTCGCTTGATAATAATAACAACAACAACAACAACAACAATAATAATAATAAATAATACATCTGATTTAAATTACCTATGTAATGATGATATTACATATGATATACGATACTGTGTTTTGTGATATGTGTGTGACCTACCCTCACACACACACACACCCCTGCTGATAGGCTATGGTAATATGGTCTTGCCTCTTTAATTAAAAGAAAAACATGTTGAATTTTCATCTTCAATAATTCTTTTAGTATATGACCACATAGTGCCACAGTAGTTATGCCTTACAGCAGGAAGACCATTGGTTCAAGCCCCAGTGATGTTCTCATTGTGAATGCGTGGCTTTCCTCCAGGTACTCCAGTTTCCTCCCACAGTCCAGGTACAATACAGATTGTGGATTAGATTAATTTGACACTCAAAGGTGACTATGTGTTAATGTGATTGGTAATCAGTGTTTATCTTTATATGTGACACAGCAAAGGACTGGCAAACAGTCCAGTGTGTAGTGTGCACTCACCCAGTGACTGCTGGGAAATGTCCAACTCACTATGTGACTGTGAAGTACTAAGTGGTAGAAGATGAATAAATGAATAGTTGAGTTTTGTATGCTAATTCCTATTTAGAACATATAGGGATGAACGAATTCTGAATACACAGAAGAATAGAGAAAATACATAGAAAGTATTGTGTATTGTATTGTGTGGCATTTATATTTCAGGTGCTACAAGAGAGGTTCACTAAGTTTGCCTCAGAGACCAACAACATTGGCCAGCAGCGTTTGGAGCAGGTTAACAAAATGGTGAATGAGATGATTGACTGCGGCCACACAGACGCAGCCACCATTGCCGAGTGGAAGGACGGCCTGAATGAATCGTGGGCGGATCTCTTAGAACTGATGGAGACTCGCAGGCAGATGTTGGCAGCGTCGCAGCAGCTGCACAAGTTCTTCACTGAGTGCAAAGAGGTACAGTCAAAACAAGTATCAGTCTCAGACTCAGGTGTGCCACAGTTTTCATTGCCATTTCAAAGGTAGAATGTCAAGCTGTGACACACGCACCTTCTATTTTTAAAGTGATGATGATGACGATACAGCCCTGTGTTGCAGGTCTTGGCTCAGATCGCAGGGAAGATGAAGCAGCTGCCAGAGGTGAGAGCGTGCCAGGCCAACATCACCAATCCAGCCACCCTGCAGAGACTCATGCACTCCTATGAGCATGCCCTTCAACTGCTCGTTGCACAGGCAAGTGATGGGTTTCACACTACTTTTTTGTACTTAAACCAGACCATGGATTTTTTTCCAACAAAAACTGTGTCCGTAGCCCAACCATGAACTAACCAACCCCCTAGATTATGTCATATGAATATTTATTTGAAACATTTATCTGTGATGTTTTCAAATTGAACATAAAAAAAGTTTTATTTAGAGACTTAATACCTACAATGATCATTCTTCTCAGTAGCTAAGCTAATCCTGCTATCTGGTATATGCATATGTAGTTATATTAGGGTGCAATGATTAGCCTTGAGTGTGACACAGCTTTTAACACTCTTCATTCATGTGCTAAAGGTGAGGCACCTGCAGGAGAACGCTGCCCAGCTGAGGACAATCTATGCTGGTGAAAAGGCCGAGGCCATCATGGCCAAAGAGCAGGAAGTAATGGAGGCGTGGAAGGAGCTTCTGAGCTCCTGTGAAGCCAGTCGTGTTCAGGTTACTTCAGTAACTGACAAGGTGCAGTTTTTCTCTGTGGTGCGTGAAAACCTGATGTGGATGGAAGGCATCATGGGCCAAATAGGATGGGATGAACCTCGGTACGTCACGTTTCTGTGTACTTTCATTCACTAATACACAACAGGAGGTCTGTAATGTTTAAGTTCTTGTGTTGTGATGGTGAAAAGCCATATGTTTTGCTATTGTTCACTGCTATTATTTCTGATTGCTCAGTATTGTATTGCATTTGCCTGGAACTAACAACAAATATTCATCAAATACAGTGATATGACAGGTGTTTTACAAATATATTAATTCAATGACGGTGCGAAAACATGCACTTCATTTAACATTCAAACATTTCGTCGTTTGTTTGTCCATGCCTCAGATTTCAGCATTGGAGCACATTAAATACATATAATATAAAATAAAAGGAGCACCTTATATAACCAGGTGATCTTAATCATTTTTTTCTCAGGGATTTAACGGCTTTGGAGGGGATGATGAAGAAACACCAAGAGTTGAAAGCCAAAATAGATGGACGCAACAAGACCATTCAGCAGTGTGCAGATCTGGGCAAGATCCTCATAGCTGCAGGCAATCCGGCATCTGAGGAGGTTAGCCATGTAAATTGTTTTGTAAAACATACAATCCATACAGTATCTAACTATGTTAGAGCAGTGGTTGGTGTATTCTTAAAGTGCAATTTTTCTGTTGTCACCACAGATTAAAGAGAAGCTAGACAGCATTTTGTCAAAGCAGAAGGATCTTGTTGAAAAGTGGGATAAACACCAGGAGAGATTACAGCGTAGTGAGTAGACATCTACATCACCAGCAGAAGAAGCTCATATCATGACCAAAAATATGAATGTTCAATGGACCTCAAAGATATTCTCTTTGCATTACACTTCCCTTACACTTAATTTCCTTACATGTCACTAAACAAGCCCTAGAATATGCTGTAATGGTACCTGTGTTGTTCTTCTGTCACTTCCAGAGCAGGAACAGTTCCAATTCGCCCAGGAAACTGTAAAGGCAGAGGCCTGGCTGAAGGCCAAGGAGCCGTTGATCACCTCCAAGGAGCCAGAAGGAGGTGTGGCCAAGGCCCAAACGGACGAGGCTGAACAGCTCATCCTTCGCCACGAGGCCTTTCGCAAGGCTGCTGTAACCTGGAAAGAACGCTTCAGTTCCCTCCGCCAGCTTTCTGCAGTAAGCTGGACTATAGATAAATGTTTAATCAGTTTAAAGTTAGAATTTAATGTGACTACAGGACGAAGAGCAACCTTGGCTAGCTGTGTTTTCTCAGTGTAGACATGTATTGTCAGTATATATTTAATTCTTCAGGATGCTCACTACATATACTTACACTAACACCTATGACATCCCATCAGTTTTTGATGCAAAGCAATTCTTAACCATCTAAAAGATATTGTTGATAATGTGATTAGCTTCTATTTTATTGCAATTGTTCATTAACATATCTTTGTTACTTTCTTCTAGGCTGAAAAGAAAAAAGAGGAGGAGAAAAAGACAACCCCATTGTCCAGCCGAAGGATGTTCCCATTGTCTTGTCTAACTCCAAATGTTGCCTCAACCAGTGCTACCTCATCTTTCTTGAGGCAGACAATACAGGCTAATATAGAACCCAAACCTTTACAGACTTGTCTGGACCTGGGGGCCACCCCTGCATCCCAGAGGTTGGCGTCAACGCTAGCCAGCTACAACCCAGTTTTGAACGGATCAGGCTATCAGGGATTGGAGCAGCAGTGCAGTGGAAAGTTGATGGGATCACCATTCCTTGGAATGAACAACCAGGCAGTAGGAGGTGGAAGTGACTCTGGCTTCTCAGCATTGACTTCCCACAGCGGTGGACCTGACACCTCAACTTATCTTGGGATAAATCATCAAACAGGAGGCAGTGGAGAGAGCTCTGGGTACTATGGACTTACCACTGGGTGTGTGGGGAGTTTGCAAAACCATCTTAGCAGTGGTCGATTGGGTAGTACGAGTAACTTAGCTCAACAGACAAGCGGTGGAGGTTTGGGAAGCCCGGGCTATCTCCCTCAACAGAATATCGGCAGTTCGGGATATTTGACACAACAGCCTAATATGGGGAGTTCTGGGTATTTGGCACAGCAGTCGAACATGGGGAGCTCTGGGTATTTGGCACAGCAGCCGAACATGGGGAGTTCTGGGTATTTGATACAGCAGCCGAACATGGGTAGTTCTGGATATTTGGCACAGCAGCCGAACATGGGGAGTACTGGATACCTAGCACAGAATTATCAGAGTAGTGGGGGATTTGGTAGTTCAGGCTTTCTGGCACAAAATCATTACAGCAGTGGAAGTCTGGGCAGTTCTGGTTACTTAGCTCAGAGCGGTGGCATCATGGATCCTAAAATGGCGTATGCATGGCAGCACCTTAAAGCGGACTTCATGCAGCCTAGAATCAACCATATTCACAAGGCCATAAACCCTCTCCTTGAAGCCAGCAGAATGCAACGGGAGCAGTATGGAGACATTCCAATGGCAGACATGGTGGGGCCAGAGTCTGGACTGGAGCTTCTCCATGGACGTCTCCAGAGAGATCCACGCGGTAGCCGCTCCGACCCTCAAATGGACCATCTGAGAAGAGAGAGGGAATACAAGTTGGGCCGACAGACCTCCAGTGAGCAGGAGATCCAAGCCAGGCTCAACGAGCTGCCGATGATCGTGCGTCAGGAGCGTTACCGCAGACGCCTGGAGAGGCAGTCGTCCAGTGAACAGGAGGGAAGTGGGAAGCAGAGGATACAGAGACAGGACTCCAGTGACCTAGAGGGCTCCATTAAAGAGGGCTCAGACAAACGTTCAGGGTATGTAAGTTATTCATGCTTATGGCAGAGGCATTCACATGATCCCTGAAAATTTGGATCCGCTAAATAATTGTATAACTCATTTTTAATGTCACTGCAGGGAAAAGAGATCTACTATGGCAGAGATTGTTGAACAGGTTCAGGAGAGAGAGGCCGCACATGTAAGTTTGGACACATGTGTCAGAAGTTCCTCTGTCTTTAAGCTCTACATCAAAATCAAATTTTTTCTCTGCCACCTCTTCAGGCGCGGGGAGAGCCTTATCGTCCTCCAAGTAGTCTCTCAGCTCCTGTGACTCGTTTTGATGGACGTCCTCGTGCCCGTGATCGTCCAAAACCAAGGAGGAGGCCACGTCCCAAAGAGCCTGAGGAAACTCGGCGTTCTCGCTCAGCCCCAGCAACTGGAGCCCCAACAACACCCCAGCCACCTTCACACACTGCCCAAAATGAAGGCTCCCTCTACCGCAAAAAGGCCACCAGCTCTGACTTAGAGGGTCAACAGAGGAGCCCCAACAGGTGCAGACGTAGATTATAGACAAAGTTGTTATGACCAACAGGTGCCTAATATGTCCAAACTCTCCAAATGTTTAGTCATACTAAAGAGAAGGCATTTTACAATTGAACATGATTAGCTAACGACCTTCATACCAATTACTGATGTATAACAACAGTACTGCTCCGATCTAGAAACCTCTGTAAAATATTGACATGTAAATATTGATTCAGTAAAGTGATCTAACTACATTTATTTTATATATGAATTACTGTTGAATTCTATATAGATTTATATGTAAATTTTCTTTCTTTAATTTTTTTATAATCTACACCAGGTGGCGTTAGACCATCAACTGATGGCAAAGAAAATAATTTGTAAAATCTAAACTTTACAGTAAATCGTGGGTCAATGTATACTGTGTGCTGAAAGAGGGAAAGCTGACCTTCTACAAGGATGCCAGGAATCAAACAACAACGTACAACGGAGAGCCAGCCGTCGACCTCAGTAACTGCTCCTTTGACCCTTCGCTGGGATACAAGAAGAAGAAAAATGTTTTTATCTTACAGTAAGAACCTGTTTACTTTTGCAAAAGAAAGAAATTGTGATTTGGTCTATATTTTTGACAAGACCGTGTTAACTGACATTAATGACTTGAAGTGTGGTCGAAAAAGTGTCTGTAAATCTAACACTAATATCTCCTTGTTATTTTCCTCTGCAACAGAATGAATGATGGAAACCTCTTTGTATTCCATGCAAAAGATGAGGTAAGAAAAGCACTTCAGTTATCCTTATGTCTGTAATTTCAACCTGACAGATAATGGAAGTCAGAGACAAACCCTGTGTCTGGACTAACACATGGATGGTTTTGGTCCTTTACCCACATCACAGAAATATATATTATTACTAAAATTATCCTGGCAGCTGAAAAAAGCAACCAATAGGAAAACCTGCTCTCCATCCACGTCACACCCTGAAGTGTCCTGTGATTGGATGAATCCCCCATGACACTGCAGATTTAGATGTGATACTGTAAACGGAGCACAGAGGAGGTGCAGGAGTGATGTTCTCTGGCTCTCTCTCTCTCTCTCTCCCTCTCCCTCCCTCTCTCCCTCTCCCTCTCTCTCTCTCTCTCTCTGTCTCTCTCTCCCTCTCTGTCTCACTCTCACTCTCTCTTTCTCACACACATAACTTGATTTTTATTATGCTATTATGTTATTTTTTTATCAATAACATAAAAATATCTGACTTTCACAAGTTACAACAGAAGAAAAGGTTTACATGGTGATTTATAGTTTAGTAATTTTATTATTTATTACTTTTTCAGTAAATCATAATGGTTGTGGTACAACTGTGTTCTACCATTATCTGAGTAACTGGTTTGTGTCTGAGGTCTAGTAAAGTAAAACCACACATGAATGTTACAATGATTGATTTTTTTTTTTCTCCTTTAACTTTCATTGTTACATAGATGAAATAGAGAAAAAGTGAATAAGTTGAATAATACTATTTTCAGAATAGTTGCGAATGAACCAAGTAATGTCATGCTCTGGTCTATGAATTGTGCTGTAGTACAGTACATACATAAATCTGACACAATAACTAAAGTCAAAAGGGCAAAGTCTGTTCTGTCTGCAGGAGCTGGAGACACTGAAAAATCTGTAATTGTACATAACATTGAAGACATGAATTGTAAACATGATTCACATTGCACATTACCTAAAGCACATTATATAAACCTCATATCGACTGTCTCTGTCTGCAGGAAGACCTGAAGGCCTGGACTTCAAACATCACCACCTGTATATCTGAGCATGAAGCCATGGTCAAATGGGACAAGCCTGGGACTTCATCCATGGATCCTGACCACTCCGAGAGGAAGGAGAAATCTGAGGGAGATGCAGACGCCAGGTCAGAGCCTTCTGAGATGGTCGAGGGGGAGGAAAGATCTGAGAAGGAGAGGTCAGAGAAAGGGGATGGCTCAGATAAGTTAGACACATCAGAAATCGCAGACAAGATAGAGGGCGGAGCTGGGGGCTCCAGCACATCCGGAAAAAGCAAATGAGGAGCCCCTTCATCTTTTAATGTCACTAACTGACAGAGGGCATAGGAGACGGTGGGTGGGAGGAAGGGATGAATGGATGGATGTTGGATGGATGAATGGAGAGCATGTGCAGCTAGGTTTGCAGATCCTCAGTGGTGGAGCCAAAACCCACTGAGGCCACAGTCCTAGGACTGACTACTGTTACTGTGACAGACTAATCTCTTAGACCCTCCCCTTCACCCAGGCAATACATTGCTTGCATTGTGCCACCTGGTGGTAGCCAGGAGGTTGGCCCAAACAGACAGACGAACAAACTGACTCCAACAAACGGTCACAGGAATTAGTCGCTGTCATCTCCCATCGTTGATCGTTTAATCTCTTGGATTCACAGCATCCTCCTGTATGTATCTTTGACTGATAATGTAATGCTCTGTCTATCTAGACAAACCCAAGAAGTGGTAAATGAAATGTTCCACAATATTAAAAAAAAAGAAAAGAAAAGAAGACATTTTTTTGAAGCAATATACTTTTTTATTTTGTCTTTGTTAGAGAGAGAAACTGGAAAAAGGAAACAAGAAATAGATGCAACTCTATGATTTGTCACATGTAAGCTTATGCCAGGCAGTTGTGCACCCTAGACAACTGACACATCTGTATACTAAACATAGTGACATTTAATCCCATCACATGGCTAGCTTTCAATCATGTTAATATAATGGAATGCTGGTGTTAACCACCTGATTTCATAAGTGTCTAAAAATACACATTTTTACAGGTTCATTTGAGTTGATGTTATTATTACTGTTATTGTTATTAGTTCACAATGCTTCACATGAAGAAAAGAGCTCCCATCAAGTTCTAATCCATTACCTCAAGGTGTGTGGCAGTGGTTCAAAGTAACACTAAGCCTATGTGACACAACACCTTCGTGTACATGATGAAAATCAGATCATTGCATGGAATAATCTGTTAGTGCACCTGTTAAAACTTGCCTTTCTTTTTATGTTTTGGAAATAAGTTGAGGAGTTGGAATTGCAATAATTCAGTGTGAGTGGGGGAAATGTATTTTGTTATCTCGGGCCAAAATCCAGATTTACTGTAAGTCTAAAAAGTAGTATTGTCTTCTATTAGCAGTACACATGAGAGTGAGGGAAGGGGGAGGTATTACTGTACAGGATACCAGAGTACTGACTACTCTATGATCTGTAACTCATATTAAGAAGCCAAATGGTCCCTCTGCAGTGTGTACTGTATTAGTACAATTTATTTTGCATAGAATGTGCTGATCCCAGTTGTGAATGTTGTTACCCCAGGGTGGGTGGAGCCCCAAAATGTAAAAACCCTGAAGAATTTCGCTGAAATGAATCCTACTCTGTTCCCAGTTTCTGTCATGAAAATCTCAAACCGATTGGAAACTCTCCACCGAAGACAAGTCAAGTGTAAAACTGTCAAGAATCAAGAAAAATGTATATATCTATCTTTGTATGTATACCAATCAATCCTGTGCTCTAAATAAAACAATACTCTGAACCGAAATGGGTTAAAATTAAAACATTTGTATTTAGCCACAAATAAAAACAATCTTCACTCAAATATATTATTGTTTATTACATTAAATGAGAAATATGCAAATTAGGAGTCACTATTAAATATCATAGTGTATATAGGTACGTCAGTATCTAGTTCTATTGACAAGTTTTACCAGGGAAGAGCAGGGACTTACTGTAGGTATGCTTGTGTATTTTTTATGTGTATATTTATTCATGTCAGGTTGAGAAGCCGCTCCTGTAAGAACGTGTTAACACCAGCTGATTAAGTAGTCAGCGTGTCTGTAAGAGGTGTGCTTTATTACCAACGGGAACTAGATAACTAGCCTGTGTGTCCACTGGTTAATTGGATTTATTGGTGAATAGCATAAATTAAATTTGAATCTATCTGTTAAATCAATACATTTGACAGAGGTGTGCTGTGAGCACAGGGATGAACAGGCATTAAGTCACTTATTGTTTCTTATATTTGAACGTATAAGGACAGTCACTGTAAGCTTCACTCCAAAGTTAGTAGTAAATTTGAAACTAAAATGACTTCAGCAAAAAATGGAGGAAATACATATTCAGTGGACGACCCACGTCATATCTGAGATCAGCCGTGTTTCAGATCACTGACAGTGCTGCCGTTTCCGTAGTCACTGCTGCCGCCTCCCAGACGGGTGGAACTAGAGCAGATAAGCTGTGTTACCATGTGAATGTTCTTTTCATTTATGAGCCATTGTTTGTCTCTACACATTGTGCCATGTCATGCAGTTTGCTGTGACAGCATTTCAAAGCACCGGGTCCTTCAAACCAATGACATTTCACCTGACTCTGCAGTCGTCTGACAGAGAGCCTGTCGTTGCAATACATATTTTTTATCTCTAAAAAAATGAAGCTATAGTATTTTCATGTGGCTGTAATTGTTCTAAGTCATTGCTCATGGCAGACATTTATCCTGCGCCACCATGTGCGTTTTACACTTTTGTTTCTCATCACTTTTATGAAACATAAAGGATTCTTCCACACCGTCTTATACCAGTAACAGATAAAATGACATAGGCAGCATAAACTGTGACTGAACAAATGTATTATTGTGCAAACTGTTTCCTTTCCTTTGGTGTGTATGACTTTGTTACTTTCCCTGACAACTTTGCTGCTATGACATTAAATAAACCTCCAACCTTGCTGATGCAAACTTCACGTGAATTCGATGGGGGCACACAGACATACACACACTCACACATGACAAACATTGATTAATGTAGGTTTTTTAACTGGTTCAACTCCATTCACATAAGAATCCGCAGAATGGATGTTGTCAACATAAGGCTGCTGCCATTGATGTGTACGTCAGTGTTTGTTGTTTTTTTGCTGGTAGTGTGTGTTGTACTAATGTGACTTTGCATTTCACATTCAGGTCCAGTGGATGCAAGTGTGCTCATGCGTTCTACAGTGGGTTGTTACATCTGAAGCTAATGCTTGGCTAATTAAGTAAATTTGTAGTAGTACTAGTAAACTAGGTAACTAGGTACTAGGTAACATCACTTACCTCTATGTTCAGCATTGAGGTCAACTTCCACGACCTCTCATCCTTCTTCAAAGTTTTGAGTGGCCAACCCAAAAGGGTCAATTTTCTTTTTAAATTAATCAGGTCTGTAATCAGAATGCTCTTAACAAAATCACTTCAAGTGGACCTCAATTACACACCAGTATATGGTTAATCAGTCACATCTTGCCATGAGTTTATTGTCTTGATACAATATAAACGTCTCAGCTGCTGTTTACACCATACAAATGTTTCACCAAATGTTAGAGCTACTGGTTTTCTGAAAATGTTTCACATGACACTAACATGGCTAATGAGTAAAGACACTTTAAGTACCACTCAGGAATTGAAAACTGATAATTGCATTTCTTGCAATTGCTGAATAACAATAGCAAGCACATTTTTTTTTTAAATTCCATTTTATATTTTGGCATAAAAATAGGTTTGTGCAAAGTATACAGTCCCACTATTGACTATTGGCTCAACTCTGTAGTTAGCTAGTGTAGCAATGTTACCTTAGCTTATCTGGCCTGTACTACTGTCTCAGATGTATTTGGCAAGCGTCAATGAAGTTCTGATATAATTTGACTAGAAACCGCCCAACTGCAGCGGCATCAAAGTACAACGACATTCGTGAGTGACTGGGCCCAGCAGATCAATTCAAAGTCCAGTCTGTTCTGTTGTCTCCCTGAGGCTGTTGAGAAACCACAGTGTAGCTGAGCCTGCAGATCCTGAGTGTGATTCACACTGCTGCAGGAGGAGCAGAGTTCACACAGACCTGCCCTCAGTCCCTGGACACCATGTTCTAAAGGAGGAGCCGCTGTGATATACGAGACAGCTGGATGACAGAAAAAAGGCTGGTGGACACTGCCTGAGGAAAATGCGGCAACCTTTGAGAAGCTGTCTGATATGATTGTGTCTTATATATGTATGTCATATATACATATACACATACATATACATATATATATACATATATATATATATATATATACATATATGTATATATATATATATATATATGTGTATATATATATATATATATATGTATATTGACACCCATCACACACACTTACATTTCCTTGACGGCTTATATTGATTTTGTGAACATTCTGTAACTTCAAATACTTTATTGTTTAGACTGTTTTTATACCCCTGATTCTCAGTTTTCTTTTTAAGGCTTGCAGAAAGAGAGTGCCATGACTGCAGTGTTTTTGAGCTCATCATGTACTGTATATACCTCCACTATTTTGCCAGTGCTGTTTAAAAGTCATATTCTCTTGCATTCCACTGGAGGGAGCCTAAGTACCATCAGTGGTACGTGTTCCATAGTTTAACACTAGCATCAATATTTTATTTAAATTTAATCAGCTTCTTACAGTACATAATTCAGTGGCAACAACAACAACAGAAAAATCCTCATTGACGGTTTATGCAAAGAGAAAACCGGAAAAAGGGAAGTTCTCTGGGACTTGGGTCAACCCTGATGAAACAAATTTGTTCATTTTTGAAGTTTAACAACCCTAAATAATAATAATAATACAAACAACATATGTTATTATAGTTATTGAAGACCCGGCACACTGGGCCTGGTCCTACTCTTTAGGAACGTCTACATCCGTGAACCGAGGTGACGTCACCTGACGTAACATGATGGACGCTGAGGGACTAGGTTGAAGTGGGTGGGTCTCTAGTTTTGTCAAATACCTTGCTAACAGAGCTACTTCCGGAAAATGGCCAGCGGGACGAAAGTTGCTGCAGTGTTTCGGAGTGTTTTGAGGAGCTCCCAGGCTCTGAGAGGAGCTGCCTTGCGCCGCGCTGTGGCTCCTGGTGTGGCAGGAGCTTTTGCTGTAGGAGGTGGTCTACTCTGTTATTACCGCTACCATGCTAACAACAGGACTCTGCCCTTCTCCGTTCACGCCGAGGAGGAAAACGTGAGTTCGACACAGTGTTGGCACGTTACTTTATAAAAGTTATTAGTTATAATTACTTGTAATAAGAAAAACTGGGTACGTAACTGAATCACTACAGTATAAAAGTAACTAGTTACAAGGGAAAGTGACTATTGCGTAGTTTAAATATCTCTAAGAGTTATTATTTATTGCACCGCAACAGAGCCACAACTGCTAGGCATAATGTACTGTAGTACTTCACTGTTATCAGTGTGTGAGGTACAAAAAAAGTATATTTATTCTGATTTGTTACTACAAATATGGTCATTGCTATGTATTTTAAGGTAAATTAGTGAATTTTTTGTCATTTTTGAGAAACATTTATTTTTTAAGTCTTTTTCAGGAAATTATTCGTATAGTACCTGTTATCAAGGCAGCATGAAAGTTTTGCTTAAATTTGATCTGGCAAACACGTGTGACCCGTGGCTCAGAAAATGTAAAATTCCTTTTTCTTTATGGTGTAATTGGTTTGTGTGTGGTGATTTAGGTGCAGGAATCTTCTGCCCCTCATACGTCTGCCAGGAGGCTGCGCTTCATCAAGTTTGCCTCTGTGGTTTACGAAAAGGAGCCCTACATGACACCCAGAGACTTTATCTTTTCTGTCATGCTGGAGAACGTGGACCGTAAGCTAGTTTGTTTACATCAGGAACCATAAACTGTGCATAAACTCTGTTGAACACCTCACTTTACATACAGTTCGGTTCACGAACAAAATCTTCGGTTCACTCCCAAAGGAGTGACTGTGATCACCAAGCAAAGCTCTCAGTTCGAAAGTTTGAAAACTGAGGTTCCGCTGCAATCCCTTTATATTTCAAGGAATGGGAAGCACATGCAGGCATCTGAGCCTACAGAGATACACATGCATGTGTATCTCTGTCGGTACCAGACTTGGACACCTAGAAATTCACCCTCAATGTTAACACTAATTGTAAACTACTACCACTCACTTACACCAATTAAATAAAAACACACATCACGGATATGAGGAAAGGAAGACTTATAAATACTGTTTGTTCTGCTTGTCCTTTTATGTTTCTAACATTTGTGTAACTGCATATTTGTGTAGGAAAGCTGCAGAAGAAAATACTTACACCACAGGTACAGTATGTTTGACTTTTCCTGCACATACAAAGCACTGCACTAAGGCCAAAGGTCATGTTCTCTGTTGTTTCTGTCTTTGCAGGAAGTTGATAAGATGTTGGCCGCAGCTTCTAAAGCAAGGGCTGGTAATGATCTGTTCAGGACCCTAGGAGACAACGGTAAGTCATACACCTGTCACTGAATATGCAGGAAACTTTAGACCTGTAATTCCAATGAGCTATCTTTTCCTACATTACGTTTGAAATATTAGAGACCACAGTTGGATTGAAATGTGCCAAATAGATTGTATTAGAAATCTGGGCTGATTTTATTTTTTATTCAGTCGTCTTTAAAAAAGAAAAATAGAAGTCCCTTATACTGTATGTCCCACATACTGTACGTCCCACAGTGGGGAAATACACTGAGTCTTTAAACCCACACAAGCTGCCTCGGAAGGCACCATTTAGTATGTGCTTCCCCTGGTGCTTGAACATTCAAGGCAAGTGTGTGTGTTTCCCAAGGTCAATTCTCATCTTAAACGTTTGTAACTGTTGCTAGGAGCACAGTTTAATATCTTGTTAGGGGATACATTGACAATGTTTTTGTAACATGAAACAACCATGTTTATTTTTCTCATTTTTTCCATTAAATCGTCACATGAAAATAGAAACAGTGCTTTAGTTGTTTTAAGAATGACTATATATCTTTTGTTTTGTAGGTCTCATATCCTATACTGAGTATCTGTTCCTTCTCACCATCCTTACCAGTAAGTTGCCTTTGAATTTTAACATGTGTTTATAGACTCTTTGTATATTCCTGGGTGTGTGCGAAGTTTATGTATTAGTTTTGTATCTTCATTATTTAGATCATTTTAAATGCTTTTCTGTTGCAGAGCCTCGCACTGGATTCCACATAGCCTTCAAAATGCTCGATGTTGATGGAAATGAGCAAGTGGACAAAAAGGAGTTTCTCAAGGTAAGGCCTGTGACACAACTGGATGGTTTGGAGGTAAAATGTAGTTACTTTCATAACATTGATTTTCTAATCTTCAATCCCCACAATCACAGGAGAATGTATGAAATGATATCTGGTTTTTTTTTTTTCACATTTGTTTGTGCATTTTAATGTTAAAAACATGTTGCTGCCTTTAATGCTGCCTCCAGCATTGATGTAGCCACAGTAAGTATGGAGACATGGAGCCACGATCAAGGTGAGAGGACTGTTATGTTTTTGCAGCTCCTCACTTGGGTCCAATTTTATTTAAAGTAGGGCCGCCAAAGTACACAAAATAGTAGCGATTTAACAGTACAATACTTTAAGTGGACACTTTTAACATGCAGTTATTTTTACCTACTGTGATGTAGTATGGTTGACCTAATGCCTGCTATGTAGATTGGGGAATCAGGAAGCAATAAAACAATGCGGAAGAAATATGGATAAGGAAAATTTAAATGTAAAATGGCAAAATCAAATGCAAACTGTGCACATTTTAAAATATTAACTATTGATGTATACTGAGCTACTATCACAGTAAGTCAGTGTGATAAAGTAACTCCATGCAAATATCTTTTTTTACATAAATGTAAATGAACATTCTGGAGAACATTCTGGACCATTGGAACAGACAAAGATACCGTATGTGATTATTTTTGCGTTTAATTAAACAATCATGAGATGAAACCTTTTTAAATTAAATGTTTTGGCAGCCCTAATTTAAAGGCAGTTTTAAGTTATGTGCCTGTGCTTTCTGTGGTGAGAGAAGACGTCTCCTTATTGAGTTCAGATCAGGTCTGGAGTGGTAGACTGCATGTTGACACGACTTCCACTTTGTGTTGTAGGTTCATGTTGTAACTTGGTGCAAATGCACAAGTGTTCAATAGAGGTGCATGGACTTTGTTGCATAATTTTCTGTCACAAACACATCCATACTTACTGCTTTTATATATATATATATATATATATGTATATATGTATATATATATATATATATGTATATGTACATATACACATATATATTTATGCAGTTTTTAAACTAAAATGAAGCTGTAAAAGGTTTTGAGGTTTAGTCTGTGAAGACAGTATGGTAGTATGGATGTTGTAGATGAGTACAGTATCATTATTTTAAACAGACTAATGTTGATGTAGCCTTTAATTGTCTTTACGTTCATGTTTTCTGTAATCGTTCAGATGTGACATGCACTTTTATTTGAAATCAATTAATCAAGAAATTGTTTAATTTTTTTTTCTGCTGTTAAAGCTGAAGAAAGTAATCAGGAAAAGTAAAGTGAGAGTTCCCAAAGACAGCACTGAGGTGGGTGTTCACTGTTTTGTCAAATTTAAAGAAACTGATGCATGACGATGTGTTTTCTTTGCTAACTTTACTCGCTAATGTTCACAGAAACCAGCAGAAGAAGGAGAAGGAGTGAACACGACATTACAGGCCTACTTCTTTGGGAGGAAAGGAAAAAATAAGTTGCAATATAAAGAGTTCCGTCGGTAAGGAAACCCACATGTTTTGATAGAAAACAAATGTATTAAGTTTTCTCTCTCTTACCAATCAATGCGTTGCCTGTAGTTTATGAAAAAGTCCTCCTAGATGTTTGACTCTGTTAAAAAGGCATTCGTTGTTACATTTATGTTCTCATATATGTGATCATGTGATTTGTTGTAGCCAATCATATGATCACTTTTAAAGCATGAGAACATGAATGTTAAACCTGCTATGATGTGTGGTTCAGAGATGGTGGCTCTGTCTTAGGAAACAGGAGATGGGGTAAGAAGGAGGCACGCTTTGGCGACCCCTCGAGGACACAGCTGAAAGATGAAGTGATCTGTTTTGCTCACTTTCTATATGGGACTTTCAGATTCATGGAGGACCTGCAGGCTGAGGTGCAGGAAATGGAGTTTCTGCGATTTTCCAAAGGTATGGACACTATGCGAAGAGAAGACTTTGCAGAGTGGCTACTGCATTATACCAACGAAGAAGACAATGAGGTGTACTGGGAAAACATGAGGAAGAGGATTCCAGCTGGACAGGTACAACAATAAGACCTTCCGTCCTTGGACTCAGAATCGATGCTAGAACACAAAACTAGAGCTTTTCTTCTTTCTTGTTCCCAGAGTATCTCTTTTGATGAGTTCAAAGTTTTCTGTCTTTTCACTAACAATCTGGAGGATTTTGCCTTCTCGATGAAAATGGTTTCTGAAGCCAATCGACCTGTGGGAATGGGTAACGACTCTCCTCCTCATTACACTGCTTTCACCGTTTACTACAGTATAAGTGATATATATATGTATGCACCTGATTCCAGCACAGTTTAAGCGAGCTGTGAGGATCGCCACAGGCCATGATCTGTCCGAGAACGTCTTGGACACTGTGTTTAAACTCTTTGATCTTGATGGAGACAACTGCCTGAGCCATAGGGAATTTATTGCTGTGATGAAAGACAGAGTACTGCGTGGGCTAAAGGTGAGTTTTAGATAACGTAAAAGTTTTACTTGTTAGTGTTTCAGACAGAGCTAAGACTCAGTGTTCTGTCCTTAACTCAGTCTGCCCCAGATTTTGGTTGGGACTGATAAACGTATCACTTTGATACTTCCACCTCCACACATTAACAGCTATTGCTTTGAACTCTACTGAAATGCATTTATTCTGATTGACCAAAGACAATCACCTTAATAAATTCCACACTGTGATCCAAATATAGAAAATATTAAAGAGAAGTTTGTGTCCCTTTAGTGAGGCATGCGCCCTACTTTGGAGACTGCTGCTACAATGCAGGTACACAGGCTGACTCTGGTGTCGTGTTAACAGTACTGCAAGGGCAGCAGACACTGGCTGTTACATTTTTAGACATTTATTTATTGATGGCTATTGGGGCAAAAGATAATTTCATCACATAAGATAAAAAAGTGTTTCAGTAACAAATTACAGAACTGTTGTAATTACAGTTATTAAATGTGACTTGTTGAACTTGGCAAAATCAAACGTGGTAGACATACTTGTGTACTAGAGTGTGTACTAGAGTACAAGAGCGAGTGAACATCAGTCCTGCTGGCTGTGTTGATCGTGACCTTTGCCCTTAGGTGCAGCCTCAGCACGGCTTCTCTGGCTACTGGAAGTGTGTGAAGCAGGAGACCCTGAAGGGAGCTCAGGAGGCTCTGCGGGACTCAGGTTGCCCCATCTGAACCTGCAGCAGACGTCCAATGGATGAGCTGTCACATCTTAGTGCCTTCCAATCAAGAAGATTAGTGTGAGGATTATTATTATTATAACCATGTGTAAAGAAACTAAGGATTTATACCACTGCCTTTCATATTTGTGTGTTTATACAGAAGCAATACTATTGTCTATAAGCGTGGGTTGTTAAGTATTATATATTTCTAATCTTCCATGTGATAATATATATGACTTTTGCCGATAGAGTACTAGCACTAGAGTAAGAAGTGTTTACAGAACTGGTTAACTGCATTTTAGTGCTGATTATGTTCATTCTGACACATTTACATGGAATTGTGTAAAAAAAGTAATAAAATAAAAAGTCCCAGAAATGCCTTAAAATGCAAGTTTTTGTCCCAAGTGGCCAAGTGAAAAATTTGTGCTAAAAACTCCAAAAAATATTTTATTTGAATATTTTAAAATATCACAAAAAACTTACTATCGCGAAAAAATGCAAAAAAAATAAAAAAAAGTCCCAGAAATGCCTCAAAATGCAAGTTTATGGCCCAAAATATGCTGCCAAGTGGATCATTTGTGCTAAAACTCCAAAAAATATTTGCGTTGAATTTAAATGTGGAACACGGTAAATTGTACACTTGACGCAGTAGGTGGCAGTGATGTTCCTTAATGCAGCCTTCTAGGTTGGCTTAAGCGGAAAAGAAGAAGATGACACTACACGACAAAACATGAACAGACGCCATTGTATGGTCCTTATTTCCAGTAGCGGATCCGGCGCATGAGACACGAGCGTTTAAGTAAAAAAACTGGGCACGGTGGCTACATCTGATTGATTGAAATGGTTGATTTTTTTAAACAAGTGTGAGTTGTATTTTGTTTGAAATGGTAGTTGTTCGGTTGAGACCGTTTGAGCAATTTACGCTAGCATATGTGTCTCGGCAGCTAACGTTAGCTTTTGTCTGAAGTTAAAATAATAAGTTTTTCGTCCTAAATAATGAACATAGAGTTGTCTTGGTAAATAAGAATATTACCTTTGAAAATAGTTTGAACTGGGCTGATGCACCTTTATAAAAATATGAAATGAACTTACAATATTGCTTTTCTGTACAGAAACCCATCCTACTGAAGGGCCACGGACGGTTTACCACTCAGATGAAGTACAACGGAGAAGGAGACCTTCTGTTTACCGTCGCTAAAGATCCAGTGAGTGACACCAATGACTATAGGATAGTAATTAGTTTGACGTTCATAATAATTGTAATATTGTGATTAATTGACTGACAGTTATTAGTAAATGTGTAGTCATGACACAGTTGACCCTAGCGTACGCTCATGAATTTCTGCCAAGATACATGCTACGTTCCTTAACTGGCTTTTGTCAGGGGACACCAAAAATGTTTTGACAGGATCAGCTGACAACAACTGTCAACTGTGGGACTGTGAGACTGGTGGGTGAAAAGAAAATGCATGTGTTTAGATAGATAGAAGTTTCTGAATCCCTTGGGAGTTCTAGCAGCAGCAGTACAGCACCAAAACAACAATAAAAACGCACAAATAGGTAAAATACAAACAGAAATCTGAACAGTGGATGTTATTAGAGTAGTCTGTTAGTAGAAGTAGGTGGATAGATTAGTGTTAGTAGGTAATTGTTGTTGCTGTGTGTGGTGTTGTTGATTTCAGTCTCAATTATTATATATTATATAATTCTGTTATACTATTGTTATTCTAAATTAAATTAGTATGATGTGTATGTATAGTAAAGTATACTGCATTATACCTATGATATGTATATGTAAGCAGAACTAGTATAATTATAAGGATGTTATGTGAACAAGTATATAATATAAATATATAATGTATGCACTGTGTAAATAGTTGAGTAGTGAAATAATGAAATTAAATAAACACTTAGCTATGTAGGCGGTTCCAACAGACATATTGGTGTATGAGTGTTTAATATTTTGGTGTTTAATTTTTGCTCTGTGTCCTTTCTTTAATGTCTGCCGTCATAACACGCGGGTTCGATTTCAGCAGCAACATCATCATGTATTCCACGGACAAGCAGATGGGCCTTCAGTGTTTTAGTGGAGTAAAAATGAAATTATTTGTTTGTTTTGGAATACCAGACGTAGACTGATGATGTTGTGGAAATGAACGTGACTCTCTGGATCGCATCAAGACTTTTAAAACCGGGAGACCGGTGAACTCCGTTGCCATTTCTCCAATCAGGTAAGTTGAAGTTGTCACTGTGCAATGCGTATCCTGGTAGATGAACAGTGACCTTGAACCTTGCAATTGTGTGTTTGTTGTAGGTGGTTATGGAAGGTGGGCAGGAGGCCATGGAAGTGACCACAACTTCCACCAGGATTGGCAAGTTTGAGGCCAGGTGAGTTGAAGTGTTGTTTCCGGAGTATTATTGTGTGGTTGAATAATGCATCCAGAGACTTGTCTTCATCTGAACAAAAGAATCAGATGAAGAAAATGTACCTTATTCCATCGTGGTGTTTGCATTAGCACTGAAGATACCATGACTTTGTATTACTGTTGATAGTGAGCAGTCATAGAATTGTGTAAACATGTAGTTGTTGGCAGTGCTGTGGAACTGACTAGTTTGTAGCTGCTTTTAAGGAAAACCCGTTTGTTTGTGTTAACATGTGGCACAATGACGTGTGCTTCTAATCTGCAGGTTCTGCAATGCTGCGTACGAAGAGAAGTTTGGCAGAGTCAAAGGTCATTCTGGTCCCATTAACTGTGTGGCTTTCCACCCTGACGGCAAGAGGTAAATAAGACCAATATGGCTTTTGATTGCTCCAAAAATAGTTACATCGAGAGCAATTGGACAAAGTCGTTTTTTTTTTTTTGAAGACCTTAAGAGGCGAAATAACACTTTGTCCAGATGCCTTCGACGTAACTATTTTTGGATTAAATGACTGAGAATATACCCAGACAGCTTTTGATTGTGTAATTCCATTAATTGTTATGGAATATGGAATTGTTAGCAGGAATTGAGTATTTTACTGAAAGAGTCACTTTTTGGCCTTTTCACTTTAATTGACAGATACTTAACACTCACTGTTTTGGCCTTTAGTTAACAGATGTGTTGCAATGCAGATGTACACAGCAACTTTATTTAATTTAAGCAGATCACTTGTTTGCTAGACTTGTGAGTATTTTACTAAAACGTTTGGGCCTTTGCACTTGTACATTGAGAGATACCCAACAGTCACTTTTTTTTAGAGAAAAAAAAAACTTTTTTTTTTTGCCATTGTACTTTCATTGTGATCTGTATTTGATTGTTTTAACCTTCCAGAATAAAGAAAGTTGTTGGAATATTGTGTGCTCTGCATTAATTTCCAGAAATTGAGCAAAAAATAGAAAATATGAATGGGATTTCTCATTGCCAAAGTCAAGAGTAAGCGTAAAGAAAAAAATTTTTTTTTTAAAATGTATTCGTTTTTTACTTATTTGTAAGTGTAAGAACTACGTAGTAAAAAGTAAGCCAAGTTAAAAACCAACCACAACAAACAGAACAGCAACAACTTTTTGATCTATTAGCAAAACACTTCACATTTACAAAACATGCATTCAATCACAAAGTCCATAGATACACATTTAAAAACAATACATGTCAAATTACAACAGTAACTCTTAGCTTTCTTTTAACCCTTGTGCGGTCCTTCACATTTGTGTACACACCATTTATCCTTGCAATGATTTTTATCTTGTCCCAGAATCAGTATTAATGAATACTGAAAAAAATCTGAAAAGTTGGTACAAGTCATGCAGTACAGGAACATGCACACGCACAGACACAAAGACATACGGTCTAAGCAAGTGTTACAAGGATTAACCCTTCAGGTAAAGATGGACGGTGGCGCTTTGGCCCAGAGGCAATGTCTCTGTCATTGGTGTGGAACCCCAGGGTTCACCTCCTGGGCAAGTTCGAATCCCGGTTAGGGCGGTTGGTACCTTCCAGTGGACTCACCACCTGCAGGAAGGTTTGGGGGGGTTGGTACGGTGCAATGTGATTTGGGTGGCGACTGCTGCCCCCGCGACCCGGTAACGGATAAGCGGATGAAAATGGATGGATGGATGAATGGATGGGTAAAGATGGACAGATTCATACATCACATACTCACAACACAACTTCTATCAACCACATGTGCTCACAGGATTCAACAAAGGTCCCATCTTCAGAAGTGGAACAACTTGGTCAAACCTCTTCTTTTGGCCTGAAACACAAGATGAAATAAAGACAACATTCCATACAAATGCACTTGGATGACTACATGTTCAAAGTGTTTAGCACTAGCATGTTACAAAACACTTCTATTAACCACTACAATCTACTGAAGCAAACCACTCATCCCTTTGTGACACTACTTCCTACTCTAGAGGATTTTACATTCACCAACTCAAGTAATAAATACAGATTCTCTATTTGGACAGTCAAAAACAACTCTCCATTTAGCACAAAGTCCTTACCCTGATGTCTCTATCTTCTCCTTCTCTTCTTTCACTTCTGCAAAGACAAAGTAAATGCAATAACACTACTACTTGTCTGGCTCCAGTCAATTAAAATGAATAAATAAACACTTAAATCCATTTCTTTCTATACCTTGAATAGTGAGGTTGAAGCAGTCTGGCTCCACACTGAAGAACAACTGCACTCGGCTGGTACATCTCCATTACTTTGACCATGATCTAAACCCAAGACGCACATTAAAAAAAAACAACAAAAAAAACAAAACAAAATTTGTCCACAGATAAGTTTGGGGAAAAAACTCAATCGCACTCAGTAAAACAGACTTACCAGTTTAAAGATGGCTTCGTAGGTAATTCACTGCGTAGTATTTTCTCTTTCCAGCCCCAATGTCCTGTAAACAGTTCACAACACTCTGTAAATGCTGTCCAAAAGTTTCATTACAGGTGACAAAAAAAGTTTCTTTTCTTATTTGGGCAACTCAAAAATGGCAGATGCTACGGACTTGTTGGTGTCATGGAGTCCACCGGCCCATGTGATGACGATATGGGTCTGCTGCAACACCTGAAGGTCACTTGTTTGCTGGACTTGTGAGTATTTTACTAAAACTTTTGGGCTTTTGCACTTGTACATTGACAGATAACTAAGTCACTTTTTTTACAGAAAAAAAACAAAACTTTTTATTTTTTTGCCATTGTACTTTCATTGTGATCCGTATTTGATTGTTATAAACCTTCCAGAATAAAGAGGGTTGTTGGAATATTCTGTGCTGTGCATTAATTTCCAGAAATTGAGCAAAAAATAGAACATTTGAATGGGATTTCTCATTGCCAAAGTCAAGGGTAAGGGTAAAGAAATCTTTTTTTTTTTTTTAAGATTTTTTAATTTTTTTTTTTACTTAGTTGTAAGTGTAAGAACTAAGTAGTAAAAGTATGCTAAGTTAAAAACCAACCACAAACAGAACAGCAACAACTTTTTACTCTATTAGCAAAAAAAAACAAACAAAAAAAAAAACTTGTCCACAGATACGTTGGGGAAAAAAACCTCAATCGCACTCAGTAAAACAGACTTACCAGTTTAAAGATGGCTTCGTAGGTAATTCACTGCGTAGTATTTTCTCTTTCCAGCCCCAATGTCCTGTAAACAGTTCACAACACTCTGTAAATGCTGTCCAAAAGTTTCATTACAGGTGACAAAAAAAAAGTGACATGTTTCTTTTCTTATTTGGGCAACTCAAAAATGGCAGATGCTTCGGACTTGTTGGCGTCATGGAGTCCACCGGCCCACGTGATGACGATATGGGTCTGCTGCAACACCTGAAGGTCACTTGTTTGCTGGACTTGTGAGTATTTTACTAAAACTTTTGGGCTTTTGCACTTGTACATTGACAGATAACTAAGTCACTTTTTTTAGAGAAAAAAACCCCAAATAAAGAGGGTTGTTGGAATATTGTGTGCTCTGAATTCATTTCCAGAAATTTCCAAAAATTGAACAAAAAATAGAAAATCTGAATGGATTTCTCATTGCCAAAGCCAAGCGTAAGGGTAAAAAAAACATTTTTAATATTTTTTTAATGACTTTTTACTTAGTTGTAAGTGTAAGAACTAAGTAGTAAAAAGTATGCTAAGTTAAAAACCAACCACAACAAACAGAACAGCAACAACTTTTTACTCTATTAGCAAAAACAAACTTGTCCACAGATAAGTTGGGGAAAAACCTCAATCGCACTCAGGTTTACAGACTTACTGGTTTAAAGATGGCTTCGTAGGTAATTCACTGCGTAGTATTTTCTCTTTCCAGCCCCAATGTCATGTAAACAGTTCACAACACTCTGTAAATGCTGTCCAAAAGTTTCATTTCAGGTGACAAAAAAACTTGACATGTTTCTTTTCTTACTTAGGCAACTCAAAAATGGCAGATGCTTCGGACTTGTTGGCGTCGTGGAGTCCACCGGCCGAGGTGATGACGATATGGGTCTGCTGCTACACCTGAAGGGATTTAATTAATCAACTGCATACGTGCACGAGTGCGCGCGCACACACACGCGTAAATAATGAATGAGGTTAATTCGTACCTTCGATAATAATGTGCGTCTTCATGGATCTCATCTCATCGTTACAATTCACTACAAACTGCAAGCACCGCGTTGACGCAAACGTTCCCCAAAGAACAAGCCACTTCTTCACTGGCTAAAGTCGCAACACCCAAAATGTTTGAATCACTCAAACCAAACGGTCTTCGTGCAGATATTCAGAGGCCAAACAACAAAGCGCTATCTCGTACAATTGAATAACACGCTGACTGAAGCGAGACGTGCAGTCAGAATTAGTTTGAATGTGCGAACCGTGCGACTCACACAGGCTATTGTTTAGCACGCTAACCGGCTACCCCAGTCGGCAGGTCAGCAGCGTAACCCTTGTAAAGTCGTATCGCCAAGTGCACTACGTCACCTTCCCCAGATCAGAATTCTCTGTTCACTTAGCCATGTTAACAAAGCACGCCTCCAATCAAGAAGAAATGAACGGTAAATGTGACTATCTGTTTGGTCACAGTTAATATACTTGTTCCTTAAATTGTGCATGATTTTCCATTGTAAATGGAAAATCATACATTATAAGCATTAAGGAACATAATGGATCTGTTTCACAATAATAATACATTTTCATTTCATGCTATAATATAGTGGACTTTATATATATATATATATTCTATATTCTATAGACTCGATATTCAAACGGCTATTTGATATATCATAGGGAAATAAGACACAAATACATTCCGTCTTTTATTTTGGTCACAAAATATTCACCTGGCAGCATGCT